TCAGGCCTGTTATTCCAGCACTTTGGGAGGCTGAGTTGGGTGGATTGCAGGAGTTCAATACCGGCCTGGGCAACATGGCAAAGTCTCATCTATACTAGAAATACACACATTGTGTGGTGGTGAATGTCCGCAGTCCCAGCTACTCGGGCGGCTGAGGTGGGAAGATGGCTTGAGCCTGGGAGGCAGAGGTTGTAGTGAGCCAAGATCAGGCCACTGCACTCTAGCCTGAGCAATAGAGCCCGACCTTGTGTTAAAGAAAAAAAAAGAAAAGTGGGGATGACACCCCCTTTTCATCACCCCAGATCAAGATGAGGAGCCAGTAGTGAGGAAGCAGACGGTGGGGGGCATGACACCCAATAGGTGTGCAATAAATTGAGTTCGAGTCAAGAGTAGGCAGACCTAGCTTGAATCCCTGGCTCTGCTACTGAAAGCTGTGGGGCCTCAGGCAAGTTTCATCATCTGGTTGGGCCTGCTTCCTCATCGGGGTGAACGGGGAAGTAATTGCAGGAACATGGTCAGATTAACTGAGAAGTGGTTCAGCGTGGTTGTGTCGATGGAGGGCGCTGGGTTACTCAGGCTGAGGATGCCAATGCTCTGACTCAGTCTGTGTCTCTATAAAAGGCGAGATCAGGCCGGGCGCCGTGGCTCATGCCTATAATCCCAGCACTTTGGGAGGCTGAGGTGCGTGGATCATGAGGTCAGATCGAGACCATCCTGGTTAACATGGTGAAACCCTGTCTCATCTCTACTAAAAATACAAAAAAAAAAAAAAAAAGAAAGAAAAAGGAACAAAATTAGCGGGGTGTGGTCGTGGGTGCCTGTAGTCCCACCTACTCAGAAGACTGAGGCAGGAGAATTGCTTGAACCAGGAAAGCAGAGGTTGCAGTGAGCCGAGATTAAGCCACTGCACTCCAGCCTGGGTGACGGAACAAGACTCAGTCTAAAAGAAAAAAAAAGAAAGCGAGGGAGATCACTTTTACTGCTCAATAGGGCTGTAGTAAGGACTTAATGGGGTCTCCCGCTCCGAGGGTGGTCAGCACACCAATGCTCTGTAGTAAGGACTTAATGGGGTCTCCCGCTCCGAGAGTGGTCAGCACACGAATGCTCTGTAGTAAGGACTTAATGGGGTCTCCCGCTCCGAGGGTGGTCAGCACACCAGTGCTCTGTAGTAAGGACTTAATGGGGTCTCCCGCTCCGAGGGTGGTCAGCACACCAGTGCTCTGTAGTAAGGACTTAATGGGGTCTCCCGCTCCGAGGGTGGTCAGCACACCAGTGCTCTGTAGTAAGGACTTAATGGGGTCTCCCGCTCCGAGGGTGGTCAGCACACCAGTGCTCTGTAGTAAGGACTTAATGGGGTCTCCCGCTCCGAGGGTGGTCAGCACACCAGTGCTCTGTAGTAAGGACTTAATGGGGTCTCCCGCTCCGAGGGTGGTCAGCACACCAATGCTCTGTAGTAAGGACTTAATGGGGTCTCCCGCTCCGAGGGTGATCAGCACACCAGTGCTCTGTAGTAAGGACTTAATGGGGTCTCCAGCTCCGAGGGTGATCAGCACACCAGTGCTCTGTAGTAAGGACTTAATGGGGTCTCCCGCTCCGAGGGTGGTCAGCACACCAGTGCTCTGTAGTAAGGACATAATGGGGTCTCCCGCTCCGAGGGTGGTCAGCACACCAGTGCTCTGTAGTAAGGACTTAATGGGGTCTCCCGCTCCGAGGGTGGTCAGCACACCAGTGCTCTGTAGTAAGGACTTAATGGGGTCTCCCGCTCCGAGGGTGGTCAGCACACCAGTGCTCTGTAGTACTACCACTGTTACTTCGTCCTCCTTTTAAGCTTTAAGATGCTTATGTAAAAACCATGTATGTAATAGCATGTGCACACCACACCATCAGGCATGTAGAGTAACCCACAGGTTACTCTAAAGCCCAAGAGGCTCCTAAGCCTTTGCTTTTCATCCCTGACATGTGCAAAGGGAGAATAATAAGTTCAACCTGGGCCAGCTGTGGTGGCTAACGCCTGTAATCCCAGCACTTTAGGAGTCCAAGGCGGGCAGATCACCTGAGGTCAGGAGTTTGAGACCAGCCTGGCCAACATAGTGAAACCCCTGTTTCTACTAAAATTACAAAAATTATCCAGGCATGGTGGCAAGTGCCTGTACTCCCAGCGACTCAGGAGACTGAGGCAAGAGAATCACTTGAACCCGGGAGGCAGAGGTGACAGTGAGCCAAGATCGAACCACTGCACTCTTCAAAAATAAAAAAAAATGTTTAACCTTTGTATAACACTAACTATTTGCCAGGCCCTGTTTTCTAAGCCCTTGACATATATATGGACTCATTTAATCTGCAAAACAACCCTATGAGCTAGGTGCTGTTACTATGCTCAGGGAGTCTGTGCCACTTGTCCAAAGTCACACAGCTTATAAGTAGTGGAGTCGGGATTGGAACCCTGAGCCAGAGGAACTAGCCCCCACACTTCCCAGTAGAACATCCAGAGGGCAGGCTGGAAGCTGGAAGGAGGGTCCCTCCGCAGCCACCAGCTGGCTCCTTCTATGGAAGAAGCAGCCCAGCCACAGAGAGGATTACAGAGCCCAGCTGTCTGGGAGGTGAGGCGCTGGCCCCACCTCCCTGCCGATTCCCACTCCCTGTTCCCTCTGTCGGGCCCCCAGCTCAGTGAGGCCCTCTCACCCCCACCCTCTGGGCAGGAAGACAAACAGGGCTGGAACAGAACAGGACGGAATGTCCTCTCAGGCAGGCAGGACTGAGGCCCCTGCCCCCACGAACCAGGCAGGAGGGGACAGGACAGGGCGATATCTCCCCCGCTCCTGCCCTCTCTGGTGCCTCCCACCCTGCTGCACTGTGGACTTTAATTTCCTTCTGCCTCCAGACAGGAAAATAGCCCCTCACCTTGGGGGGTGGGGCTGCAGGTCTCTTGCCTGGGGCTGGAGTTGATGCCACCCCAGAAGCAGCCTCTGCTCTTGAATTTAGGAAGGGATAGTGTCCCCTCCTAGAGGTTCTGCTTCTGTCGGATGGATCCCAAGGAGGGGATGAGAGAAAAGACTGAAAACTGGAAACTCATGGCCCAGATTCGAGTCCCAGCTCTGCTAGTTGTTGGCTTTGGGGCTTCTTGGGCAAGGACTTCACCTTTCAGCGTCTCAGTTTCCCCGCATTGTAAAGTGGAAGTTTAAAATGCTCCCCCCTCTGCTGGGTGCGGTGGCTCACCCTGTAATCCCAACACTTTGGGAGGTGGAGGTGGGCAGATCACTTGAGGTCAGAAGTTCGAGACCAGCCTGTCCAACATGGTGACACCCCGTCTCTACTAAAAATAGAAAAATTAGCCAGGCATGATGGTGGGTTTCTGTAATCCCAGCTACTTGGGAGGCTGAGGCAGAAGAATCGCTTGAACCTGGGAGGTGGAGGTTGCGGTGAGCCAAGATTGTGCCATTGCACTCCAGCCTGGGCAACAAGAGTGAAACTTTGGCTCAAAAATAAGCACATAAGTAATTTTAAAGATGTAAAAATAAATAAATAAATAAAATGCCTCCCTCCTAGGGCTCCCCTGAGGATTGGATAAATACATAGTTCAGTGGTAAGCATATAAATGCTTAGCAAATGGCAGCTGCCTATTACCAATGGTAATATTTATCCATATTATAAGTGTAGATGAGATTATATATACAATATGCTACACTAGACTATATATACAATATACTAGGTGTAATACACCACATAATAATCTTTCATTTTGTCTATTTTTGTTAATTTTTTGTTGTCTTCTTTTAGATACAGAGCCTTGCTCTGTCACCCAGGTTGGAGTGCAGTGGCACAATCATGGCTCACTGTAACCTCGAATCTGGGTTCAAGCAATCCTCTGCTTCACCCTCCCAAATTTATAGCTGCTTCCAGCTTTAATTTTGTATGAAAGTAAAGAGGCTGGGCATGGTGGCTTATGCCTGTAATCCCAGAATTTTGGGAGGCCAAGGTGGGAGGATCACTTGAGTTCAGAAGTTTAGGACCAGCCTAGGCAACAAAATCACACACACACACATACACACGTCTCTACATGAAAAAAAAAAATACAAAAATTAGTTGGGTGTGCTGGTGCACACCTGTGGTCCCAGGTACACAAGAGGCTGAGGCTGGAGGATGGTTGAGCCTAGGATGTTGAGACATATTTATGCCACTGCACTACAGCCTGAGCAACAGAGCAAGAGCCTGCCAGAAAAGAAAGAAAGAGAGGGGAGAGAAAGAGAGGAAAGAAAAGAGAAAGAGAAAGGAAGGAAGGAAGGAAGGAAGGGAGGGAGGGAGGGAGGGAGGGAGGGAGGAAGGGAAAGGAAGGAAGGAAGGAAGAAAGAAAGACAGGAAGAAAGGAAGGCAGAAAGGCTTTGGGTTGGGTTCACAGAGACCTGGAGTTTTAATTTGAAGACAGTGGCAGAAACAGGGAGAAGAGCTAAAATCCGGACATAAACCCAGGCCCACAGAGAGAGAGAGAATGAGAGTTCAGGCTGACCATCGTTTAAAGGCAGGCCTCCCTATTTGTGGGCAGGCACTGCACCTCTCTGAGCCTCTGCGTCCTCATCTGTTCAATGGGATGTTATCAACTTCCCTCTGGGTTGCCTGAGCATTAGGCAGGTTAACGTAAGTTTCACACTTGGCACTGGGAGTGACAAAATAGTAAAAGCTGGATAGGTGGCAGATATTTCTGGCAAAATGACACTGATGCTTCCAATCCTACATGTAAAATGTAGGTATTTGAAATGGATTGCAGGGGAGGGTGAGTGGTGAACAGAACAGGTTGCTTTGCTGTGTCACCCTGGTGGGTCCCTGCCCCTCTTAGGGCCCCTGCTGGTGGTTTGTCGTTAGACTTCGAGATCTGCGTTCCAAGATTCTTAGGATGGTTCAGTTGAAGGAAAAGGGCAGGGGAGGATATTCTGGGAAGCTATAGGGCAGGGGGCCTAGGAGTCTGTAGGCATCTCCTTCGTGGGCCCTCCCTCCTCTGACCCTGGGCCAGTTCAGCCAGCCCCCTCCCAGCAGGGGCCCTCCCTGTCCCCCAGGAAATAAACTGCAGATAAGTCAGGGAGGGGACAGAGCGGTCATAGGCGCGCCACGGAGAGGAGCGAGGCGGCGGAGGCACCATGGGCTGGCAAGACCACAGGTAAAATCCCGGCTAGGAAGGGCTCCACAGTGTAGCCCTCGCAGGCCAAGAGAGAGCCGCGAACTCGCCACAGCCACACATCGAGGCCTACATAGCCCCGGCCCAGCCCTCCATGAGCCTTGGCCCCACGTGGCAGTGCCCCACGGGCTCGTTCCGCGCTCGTGTCTTTCCCGAGTCACCACCAGTGAACGCTGCCCATGCCCTCAGGTCAGCCACCGAGCTCCGCAAGGAAAAGTCCCGGGATGCGGCCCGCAGCCGGCGCAGCCAGGAGACCGAGGTGCTGTACCAGCTGGCGCACACGCTACCCTTCGCACGTGGCGTCAGCGCCCACCTGGACAAGGCCTCTATCATGCGCCTCACCATCAGCTACCTGCGCATGCACCGCCTCTGCGCCTCAGGTGAGCGCCGCCCGTGGGAATTCCCATCTTGACCAGGCCCCGCCCACGGAAAGCTACTTCCCTGGGAGGCTCCTCCTCCGGGAAGCCATAGCCCGACAAAGCCCCGCCCTCTGGTGACGTCTTCCCAGCGGAGCCCCACCCCCTGGAAGCCACTTCCCACGGGAGTCCCCGCCCCCTGTGAGTTTCCGACCACCTGGGAGTCCCGCCCCCTTAGAAGTCCATCACTTGAGGCCCCGCCCCTTAAAAAGAGCCCTCTGGAAGCCCCGCCTCCTTAGGACGCTCAGAGAAACCCCTAACCCCTCAACCCTTGCCATTTGGTCCTCTAGGAGACTCTCCCAGATAGATAGGCGCTGGTCTCATAACAAATCCACTGGGAGTCTGCGCCGCCCAACTTTTCATTACCGTAGCTGAGAGTCCCTTGTCCCTTCCCCACCCTGCTAGTTCTATGTCACTTGTTCTCTTAGTAGGCATTTCCTTGAATTTCCACCCAGTTAGAATTGCACCCCGCAGCAGGCTTTGCCACACACGTTCACGTGCGTGCGCGCGCGCGCGCGCGCGCGCACACACACACACACACACACACACACACACACCATGGAATCCCAGGACTCTGAAAAGGGAGGAAGTAGCATTTATTCTCTGGGAGGCTCTGCCCATTTGATTTCTCTGCCCCATAGAATTTTACTTTTCTAGGAGGCTTTCCCCCCTTAGAAGTCTGTCCCCTGGGAGTCCCTGCTTCTCTAGAGTTCTGTCCCTCTGAAAGGTCCTGCCCTCCATGAGTTCCAAACGGGAGGCTTCCCCCTCAGCTCTGTATTACAACTCCCCGTAGGTCTTGGCCTCTTCATATTTTGACCCTGGGGAGTTCCATCCACTTAGAATTCTGTCCTCCAAGAAGGCCCATCCACATCCTTAGAATTCTGTCCTCCAAGAAGGCCCATCCACATCCTTAGAATTCTGCCCCCTGGGAGGCTCTGATTCTAATTCGAGTGCTTCATGGTCCCGCTCTCTTCCTTGGGAATCCAGACCACTAGGATGTACCCCCACACATTTGGGGGTGCATGTAAGTTTCTCTGAATGAGGAAATGCAGAGGGAGGCTAGCTAGGGTCAGTCTGCAACTGACTTAGAGATGCACCCATCCTCCCTGCCCCGGGTACCAGGGGAGTGGAACCAGGTGGGAGCAGGGGGAGAACCACTGGATGCCTGCTACCTGAAGGCCCTGGAGGGCTTCGTCATGGTGCTCACCGCCGAGGGAGACATGGCTTACCTGTCGGAGAATGTCAGCAAGCACCTGGGCCTCAGTCAGGTGAGAGGTGCTCCCTGCTCTGTGCCTGGCCCTGTACTGGTGATGCTGGGGATACAGTGATGAACAGGACAGCCATAGCCCCACCTTTATGGGACTCACAATACCAAGGGCATATAGGTATGTCACTAGACAGGAAGACCCAGAATGGTCAGGGCTGGGATGGGACAGTCTAGGGGGCTCTGGGAGCCCAGGGGTGGTGTACCTGACCTAGCCTGGGTGGGGATGGAGGGCTTCTGGGAGGAGAAGACATCTGAGTTGAAATCTGAAGAACTTAGCTGGTCAAAGGAGTGTGGAGAATGGATGGAATCAGTGAAGAATGTACGTGGCAGAGGGAACAGAGGAGGCAAAGGCCAAGAGGTGAGGAAAAAAAAAAGAGTATTTGGGGTAAATAAAGAAGTTGGCCACATGCAGTGGCTCGCACTTGTAACCCTAGCACTTTGGGAGGCCAAGAGGGGAGGATAGTTTGCATTCAGGAGTTCAGTGTTTCACCTGGGCAACATGGCAAAATCCCGTCTCCACCAAAAATATAAAAATTTACCAGGTGTGGTGGCACACACCTGTGGTCCTAGCTACTTAGGAAGCTGGGTGGGAGGCTCACTTGAGCCTGGGAGGTGGAGGTTGCAGTGAGCCAAGATCGCACCAGTACACTCCAGCCTGGGTGACAGAGCAAGAGCCAGTCTCAAAAAAAAAAAAAAAAGAAAAGAAAAGTTTATCCTCCTAGGTGCAGAGTGCAATAGGAGAAGCTGAGAGATAAAAGACTAGAGAGGTCATCAGGGTAGGCTGTGGCCAAATTTAAAGCCAAGTTAGCTTTATCTCCAGGACCCTGGGGAGCTACAGAACAAATTTAAGCAGTGTAGAGATTATGCCAGAGAGGTAGAATCAGATTTACATTTTTGAAAGATCCCTCTACGTACAGCGTAGAGATAGATTTGGAGGGAGTGAGATCAGAGGTTGAGAGATCAGCAAAGTGTAGATGCCAGTATCAGGTGGGAGAAGAACAGGGGCAGGGGCCATGGGGACGGAAAAATAGAAACAGGAGACATTTAGAAAGTAAACCTAACTTTCTTTCTTTTTTTTAATTAACATGGAAGGCTTCACGCATTTGCATATCATCCCTGTGCAGAGACCATGCTAACCTTCTCTGTGTCTTCTGATTTTTAGCCTATGTGCAGCCGGAGCGAGCATAGAAAGTAGAACTAACTTTAATTCATCCTTACAGCAAGGCCCATGAGAGAGTTCCCATTCTTTTTTCTATCTCACATAAATGAGTTCCATAGTTGGTATCTGTTCCTTTTCTCTGCCTCATTACCCCACTCCTGGTACCAATTCCTCTGTTAGTGTGAGTGAGCATTTGGACCCAGAGAGATGAGTGTCACAAGATCCCAAAGCTAGGAAGTGGCAGAGCCAGAATTCGGCTTCAGCTACAAGAGATTCTGTCAGAGGAGCAAGCTCTCCCTCTTTCCCTGTTCACCAGCACCAGCTCCATTCACATGGTGAGCCAACAGGGTCCACCTTCACCTGTGTCCCCTCCTCCTAGCACCAGGCTCATTTCCCAGATTAAAACGAAGAGTTGGGTTTTCAGTCTGCCAGACAGGTGTGATATAAATGGAGTCTCATCTCAGTGCAAGGAGAGCCTTGGACTTACTGTTCCCTCTTTCTAGAATACTCTTACTCCAGGGGGCCACAAGGCTACCTCACTTGCTTCGTTCAGCAGTTTTTTAAAATGTCACCTCTTCAAAGAAACTGTCTAGACCACTCTCTCTAAAGCAGCCTCCCATCATTGCATCACCTTTTCCTGCTTTTGTTTTCTTCATGTTGCTTTTTATATTATCATTATATGCTCTTTCATTCACTGTCTGTCTCACCCCACTGGCCAGTAAGCTCTTCAAGGCAGGGATTTGTGTGTGTGGCCACCATGTCCATACCATTTAGAAGAGCTGGGTGCGGTGACTCCCATCTATAATCCCAGTACTTTAGGAGGCCAAGGTGGGAGGACTGCTTGAGCTCAGGACTTTGAGACCAGCCTGGGCAACATAGTGAGACCCCATCTCTAAAAAAAGTTTTTTAAAAATTAGCCGAAAGCCAGTGCAGTGGGTCACACCTGTAATCCCAACACTTTGGGAGGCCAAGGTGGACAGATTACTTGAGGTCAGGAGTTCAAGACCAGCCTGGCCAACATGATGAAACCCCATCTCTACTAAAATTACAAAAATTAGCTAGGCATGATGGCACACACCTGTAGGCCCAGCTACTCAGGAGTCTGAGGTAGGAGAATGGCTTGAACCTGGGAGGTGGAGGTTGCAGTGAGCTGAGATCGTGCCATTGCATTCTAGCCTGAGCGACAGAGCGAGACTCCATCTCAAAAATAAATAGCAAATAAATAAATAGCTCGGTGGGGCAGAGCATGCCTGTAGTCCCAACTACTGAGGAGGCTGAGGTGGGAGGATCAGATCGTTTGAGCCCAGTAGGTTGTGGCTGCAGGAAGTCATGACTGTACCACTGCACTCCAGCCTGGGCAACAGAGCAAGACCTGTCCAATCAATCAATCAATCAATAGAAGAGAGCCTGGCACTTGGTAGGTGCTGAATAAATGCTTGGTCAGTGGGTGGATGAATGGATGGATGGACAAATGGATGGATAAATGAATGGGGAGATGGTGAAATCTTCCAGGCTTGAGAATTAGAGCAGGGGAATGAGGATGGGATGGAGGAGATGGGTCAGAGGCCCTGGTACACCCCACCCCACTCTTGTCCCTGGCAGCTGGAGCTCATTGGACACAGCATCTTTGATTTCATCCACCCCTGTGACCAAGAGGAGCTTCAGGACGCCCTGACCCCCCAGCAGAGTGAGTTCCCTGGAGGCCTCTGTCCCCACCATACAGAGGAGGAAGCTGAGGCTCTACCCTTCCCTCAGCATATTCCCTTCTCTTCTGGAACACCAGACTAAGACAAGTAGGAAGAGGAGAGATAGCCCTGCCCTGGGGAGCTTGAGGGGACACATACTACCCCTGGGGGACCCTCTCTGGTTCCAGATCCTAATTATTGGGATGGAGCTGGGGAGGCCTGACCAGCCAGGTTGCTGGAGGGTACTGGGCTTGTGTGCAGCTGCCTGTGACCGCCCCCATCCCGGGCCTCCCCAGCCCTGTCCAGGAGGAAGGCGGAGGCCCCCCCAACGGAACGGTGCTTCTCCTTGCGCATGAAGAGTACACTCACCAGCCGTGGGCGCACCCTCAACCTCAAAGCAGCTACCTGGAAGGTGCGTGGGGCCCGGCTGGAAATGGGCAAGGATGCCAGGGCAGCCAGGGCTGCTGGTGCTGGGTGTGAGCACTGGAAGATCACAAAGGGTGCTGGAGTCTTGGTATCCCCTGGCCCGGGAACCCTGCAGGGCTCACTCAGATCGGGTCTAGTGGGTCCTTAGGGCATTACGGAGTGTGGGTGTCTGTGGAGTTGGGACCTGGGGCTCCTGTAAGCTTTCTTAGGATGGATCCCTATGGGCCTGGGGTAGGCGTCCTCAGCCCCTTTGAACCTAGAGTCTCCACAGGGTTGGAATCTGGAGTCCTCACGCGCTCTAAGCTGTGTCTCACCTCCCTGGGGGGCCACAGGACGCACCTTCCAGCCCCATGGATGGTTTCAGGCCTTGAGGCATCACTGCCTTGACCCCTCTCCCCACCCCACCACCGTCTTGGCCCCCAGGTGCTACACTGCTCTGGACATATGAGGGCCTACAAGCCCCCTGCACAGACTTCTCCAGCTGGGAGCCCCAGCTCAGAGCCTCCCCTTCAGTGTCTAGTGCTCATCTGCGAAGCCATCCCCCACCCAGGCAGCCTGGAGCCCCCACTGGGCCGGGGGGCCTTCCTCAGCCGCCACAGCCTGGACATGAAGTTCACCTACTGTGATGACAGGTGGGCAGGGGTCCCCCCCTTCCCTCTGCCCAAGTTCAAGTGCTCTGTTTCCCTCCCCACCTCCACAACCCACATTTCTCTCTCTTCTTTCTCACTTCATCCATCTCTCTCTCTCTGTGTCTGCTGTCTCTGAATTTTCTAAATGTTTTTCTAATCTTTTCTTTTTTTTTGTTAAAACGCTGCCTCGCCATTTGTCCAGACTGCTCTCAAACTCCTGGGCTCAAGCCATCTTCCCAACTTTGCCTCCCAAAGTGCTGAGATTACAAGTGTGAGCCACCGTGCCTGGCATCCTTTTGTCTTTCATTCTCTCTCTGTCTCTGAGTCTTTCTCTTAGTGTCTATCTCTCTTTGTCCCTCTTCTAAATGAATGAGTCAATTTGTGTCAAGCAGTGAGGTGCCACAGGTTCCGGAAATTAGGATGTGGACACTTCGGGGGTCATTATTCAACCCGCCATCCTCCTCTTGTTCTGTTTCTTACTCCTTTTCTCTCAGTTGCAATCCTGTCTCTCTACATCTTGCTGACTTTGTCCCTGTGTCCCCTGTTGCCACTTCCCTCTACCTCTTCTCCCTCTCAGTCAGTTGCATCCTGACCAGACCCCACTCTGCCTCACCCCCAGGATCGCAGAAGTGGCTGGCTATAGTCCTGATGACCTGATTGGCTGTTCTGCCTACGAGTACATCCACGCGCTGGACTTCGATGCAGTCAGCAAGAGCATCCACACATGTATGTACCCAATTTCCCCAGGCTTGGAGCCAGCTGCCACATGGCCCATAGCCGACACCAGGACCCTGAGCTCCCCTCACCCCAGAATGCACTCCCTCCCCACCCCAACACCAGCTCCCTGCTCCCCAAGCCCCAAGGACCCGTCTCCTTCCTTGCTCTCATACCCAGCCCCAGATCTTTCTCTCCCCAGTTGCACTCTTGGTGGCCCTGACCCCTCCCCATCCCCTTCCTCAGTGCTGAGCAAGGGCCAGGCAGTAACAGGGCAGTACCGATTCCTGGCCCGGAGCGGTGGCTACCTGTGGACCCAGACGCAGGCCACAGTGGTGTCAGGGGGCCGGGGCTCCCAGTCGGAGAGTATCATCTGTGTCCATTTTTTAATTAGGTAAGCGGGGGTTGGGGTGCCTGTGTGAGGGCCTGGTCTGTACATGTGGACAGGTGTGTGTGTGTGTGTGTGTGTGTGCGCGCGCGCGTGCACATATAAGCATGCATGTGTATCACGCATAAGTGTTTGTGAGGGAGTGTGCACATGTACACATGTGAGGAACGTGTGTGGCCATGTAAATGCTGTTGCTTGTGCCTGCATGTACGCAGGTATGTGTATGGGTGTGTGGACTGTTAATTTGTTTTTTCTTGCTGCAAACCTCTGCTTAAGTGGACTCTTCATTCAAATTAGAAAGGGCTCTACATTTGGTGGGTGTGGTGGCTCACGCCTGTAATCCTGGCACTTTGGGAGGCTGAGGTGGGCAGATTGCCTGAGCTCAGGAGTTGGAGACCAGCCTGGGCAACGTGGCAAAACGCTGTCTCTACCAATAATACAAAAAAATTAGCCAGGTGTGGTGACACATGCCTATAATCCCAACTACCTGGGCGACTGAGGCAGGAGAATCGTTTGAACCCAGGAGGAGGTTGCAGTGAGCCGAGACTGCGTCACTGCACTCCGGCCTGGGCAACAGAGCGAGACTCTGTCTCAACAACAACAACAAAAAAGACTCTACATTCAAGTTAAAATAAGAAATGTAACAGAATCCTGGGGTCTTTTTTGCATTCTAAAAATTGGTGTGTGGCTCATGCCTGTAATCCCAGCACTTTGGGAGGCCAAGGAAGGAAGCTTGCTAGATCCTAGGAGTTCAAGACCAGCCGGGTCAAAGTGGTTAAGACACAATCTCAAAAATAAAAATAAAAACCATGTATGGCTTGCATACAGTAAATTCTCTTTATGGTACACAGTTCTGTGAATTTTGACACATACACACAATTGTGTAACTGCTATCACAACCCATTGAGCAATGGGTGTGATTGTAACAGTGGTTACACAATTACCACAATTTGGTTTTTTGAGACAGAGTTTTGCTCTTGTCCCCCAGGCTGGAGTACGATAGCATGATTTTTGGCTCACTTCAACCTCAGCCTCCCCGGTTCAAGCAATACTCCTGCCTCAGCCTCCCAAGTAGCTGGGATTACAGGCGCCTGCCACCACACCCAACTAATTTTTGTGTTTTGAGTAAAGATAGGGTTTTACCCTGTTGGCCAGGCTGGTCTCGAACTCCAGATTTCAAGTGATCCAGCTGCCTCAGCCTCCCAGAGTGCTGGGATCACAGGCATCAGCAACCATGCCTGGCCATTACCACAATTTTTTTACACAAAAATGTTCTCTTACAGTCAACACCTTCCACATCCCCATGTCCCTGGCAACCACTGTCCTCAGACCCCAGAGTTTTGCTTTTTCCAGAGGGTCACATACAGGGAATTATACAGTATGTAGCCTTTTGGGCCTGGATTTTACTGAGCATGATATATTTAAAATTCCTCCATGTTGTGGTCTTTCTTGTACTTTGTTTTGTTTTGTTTTTTGAGACAGAGTCTCACTCTGTTTCCCAGGAGTGTGCTGGTGCTCAAGTGATTCTCCTGCCTCAGCCTCCCGAGTAGCTGGGATTACAGGCATGCACCACCATGCACAGCTAATTTTCATATTTTTAGTAGAGATGGAGTTTTTACCAGGTTAGCCAGCCTGGTCTTCAACTCCTGACCTCAGGTGATCCACCCGCCTCAGCCTCCCAAAGTGCTGAGATTTCAGGTGTGAGCCCCCGTGCCCATCCCAAGTTGTGGTTTGTATCAGTAGTTCCTTTGTAAATAGTGAATAGTATTCCATGGTATGAATGGAGCGGTTTTTTTTATCCATTCACCAGTTGGAAGACTTGGGCTGTTTACAAGTTTGGGTGATTACAATAAAAACAGCTACTGTAAACATTCTTATACAAGATTTCATGAGATCACATGTTTTCATTTCTCTTGGGTGAACAGGAGTTATATAGTAAGTATATATTTAATTTAAGAAACTGCCATGGCTGGGCACAGTGGCTCATGCCTGTAATCCTAGCATTTTGGGAGGTCAAGGCAGGCGGATCACTTGAGGCCAGGAGTTTGAGACCAGCCTGGCCAACATGACAAAACCCCATCTCCACTAAAAATGCAAAATCATGCAGGTATGGGTGGCACGTGCTTAAAACCCCAGTTGCTTGGCAGGCTGAGACATGACAATCGCTTGAACCAGGCGGTGGAGGTTGCGGTGAGCTGAGATTGCACCACTGCATTCCAGCCTGGGCGACAGAGTGAGATTCTGTCAAGAAAAAGAGAAAGAAAGAAAGAGAGAGGGAGAGAAGAAGAAAGGAGGGAGGGAGGGAAGGAAGGAAGGGAGGAAGGAAGGAAGGAAGGAAGGGAGGAAGGAAGGGAAGGAAGGGAAGGAAGGAAGGAAGGAAGGAAGGGAGGGAGGGAGGGAGGGAGGGAGGGAGGGAGGGGAGGGGAGGGGAGGGGAGGGGAGGGAAAGGGAAAGGGAAAGGGAAAGGGAAGGGAAAGGGAAGGAAGGGAAGGAAGGAAACCAAGGCTGGGTACTGTGGCTCATGCCTGTAATCCCAGCACTTTGGGAGGCCGAGGTGGGTGGATCACCTGAGGTCAGGAGCCTGGTCAATATGTTGAAACCCTGTCTCTACTAAAAATACAAAAATTAGCTGGATGTGGTGGTGCATGCCTGTAGTGCCAACTAGTCAGGAGGCTGAGGCAGGAGAATCACTTGAACCTGGGAGGCAGAGGTTGCAATGAGCCAAGATCGCGCCACTGCACTCCAGCCTGGACAATAGACCAAGACTCTGTTGCCAAAAAAAAAAAAAAAAAAAAAGAGAGAGAAACAGCCAAACTGTTTTCCCAATGGCTCTATCGTTTTGCATTCCCATCAGCAATGTATGAGGGTTCCAGTTGCTTCATATCCTTGCCAGCTTTTCATATTGTCTGGGTTTTGGGGTTTGGTGTTACTTTTAGTCATTCTAATAGGGGTTTAGTGGGAAAATCATGATGGGGCTTTTTTTCTCTGTTATGTGTTATAGAAGCTTTTCACCATTTAGGAATGCAGCGGTATCCATGACAACATAATGAGGCAGAGTTAGAATTATAGCTTTTTGGTCAGGTGCAGTGGCTCATGCCTGTAATCCCAGCACTTTTGGAAGCCGAGGTGGGCAGATGACTTGAGATCAGGAGTTCGAGACCAGCCTGACCAACATGGCAAAACCCCATTTCTACTAAAAATATAAAAATTAGCCAGGTGTGATGCCGTGTGCCTGTAATCTGAGCTACGTGGAAGGCTGAGCCAGGAGAATCGCTTGAATCCGGGAGGTTGCAATGAGCGGAGATTGGGCCACTGCATTCCAGCCTGGGCAACAAGTAAGACTCTGTCTTAGAAAAAAACAAAGAAGGACAAGAAAAAAAAATACATCTTTTATTTTAAGGTTGTCTTACAGGACATGGCACCAGTTTCTAAAGCCTCAGGGTTTTTTCTAAATCTGGAGGAATGTTCTGAAATACAAATCAACATATATATATAATATATATAATATATAAATTTTTATATTTTATATATATATATAAATTTTTTTTTAGGCCAGGCATGATAGCTCATGCCTGTAATCCCAACGCTTGGGAGGCCAAGGCAGGCAGATCACAAGGTCAGGAGATTGAGACCGTCCTGGCTAACATAGTGAAACCCCATCTCTACTAAAAATACAAAAAATTAGCTGGGCATGGTGGCATGCATCTGTAGTCCCAGCTACTCAGGAGGCTGAGGCAGGAGAATCACTTGAACTTGGGAGGCGGTGGTTGCAGTGAGCCGAGATCGCACCACTGCATTCCAGCCTGGGTGACAGTGAGACTCTGTCTCAAAAAGAAAATTTGTGATAAAGTCTTGCTTTGTCATGCAGGCTGGAGTACAGTGGCACAAACAGGGCTCACTGCAGCCTTGACCTCCTGGGCACAAGCAATCCTCCCACCTGAGCCTCCCAAGTTGCTGGGACTACAGGCATGCACTACCATGCCTGGCTACTGTTTTTGTATTTTTGTAGAGATGGAGTTTCATTATGTTGCCCAGGCTGGTCTTGAACTACTGAGTTCAGGTGACCCACCCGCCTTGGTTTCCCAAAGTGCTAGGATTAGAGGTGTGAGCCCTGAAACCCAGCCTATAATTTTTAAAAAATAGGAATGTGGTCTTGTTATGTTTCCCAGGCTGGCCTCAAAGTCCTGGGCTCAAGTGACCCTCCCACCTCAGCCTCCCAAAATGCTGGGATTGCAGATGTGAATCACCATGGCAGGCCTACAAATCAACTTATGCCTCATGTCTCTGCCCTTCTCAGAGCCTTTGTGAGGCTCCCCAGTATCCTCAGGAGAAAGCCCAAGGGCATTGTCATGGCTCCCCAGGCCCTGTGAAGCCTCTGCCTCCGTCCCCTTCTCCCTCACTCTCCCAACCTCAGGACCTTTGCACAGGCCGTTCCTCCTGCCCAGAACGCTCTCCTCTCTTCCCTCCTCCCCTTTCTCCTGAGTCATACCCACACATCCTTCCGGTCTCAGCTCAGACATCACTTCTGGAGACCCTTTTTCCTGAGCCCCTATATGAGGTCAGATGCCCCCACCCCACTTTCTCTCCGGGTATCCTGCACTTTTACACCAGAGCACTTAAAACCATTTGTAATTATCCTATTAACTGGTGTGTTCAGCCAGGCCTTCTTTGATTGCCCTTTTCAAAATTGCTTTATTTTTCTCCCTAGTACTTACCACTGTTATTTTTTTTGGAGACAGAGTCTTGTCTTGATCTGTTGCCTAGGCTGGAGTGCAGTGGCATGACCTTGGCTCACTGCAACCAACCTTTGCCTCCCAGGTTCAAGTGATTCTCCTGAATGACCCTCCCAAGTAGCTGGGATTACCGGAACCCGCCACCCACACCCAGCTAAATTTTTGTATTTTTAGTAGAGACGGGATTTCACCATGTTGGGCAGGCTGGTCTTGAACTCCTGACCTCTCAGATGATCTGTCTGCCGCGGGCTCCCAAAGTGCTGGGGATTACAGGTGTGAGCTACCGTGCCAGGCCTTCCCTAGTACTTACCACTGTCTAACCCAACACTGTCCGATAAAAGCATGATGCCAGCCACAGACGTCATTTTGAATTTTCTAGTAGTGACATTAAAAAGGTAAACAGAATGCTGGGCTTGGTAGCTCACACCTGTAATCCCAACACTTTGGGAGGCCATGGCCAGGAGTTTGAGACTAGCCTTGGCTACATAGGGAGACCCCATCTCTACACGTAATTTAACAATTAGCCCAGCATGGTGGCATGTGCCTGTAGTCCCAGCTACTCAGGAGGCTGAGGCAGGAGGATCTCCTGGGTGATTGAGGCTGCAGTGAGCTGAGATTGCACCACTGCATTGCAGCCTGAGAGACAGAACAAGACACTGTCTCAAAAAAAAAAAAAAAAAAAAAGGTAAACAGAAGCAGGTGAAATTAATTTATTTATTTTTAATTAATTTATTTATTTTTGAGGTAGAGTCTCACTCTATTACCCAGGCTGGAGTGTGGTGGTATGATCTCGGTTCACTGCAACCTCCACCTCCAGGGTTCAAATGATTCTCCTGCCTCAGCCTCTGAGTAGCTAGGACTACAGGTGTGTGCCAACACGCCCGGCTAAGTTTTGAATTTTGAGTAGAGATGGGGTTTCGCCATGTGGGCCAAGCTGATCCTGAACTCCTGACCTCAAGTGATCCACCAGCCTAGGCCTCCCAAAGTGCTGGGATTATATGCGTGAGCCACCGTGCGTGGCCTATTTTTAATAATACATTTTATTATTCATATTCAAGATCACACTGCTGTGTACGTAGCGGAGCTGAGATTTGAACCCAGGCCGCTGTCTGTAGAGTCCTTGCTATGAACCACTACACAGTAGTGCTTGACAAGGAGGTGTTTGTGGAATGACGAATAAGTGAACTGAATGTGGCACATGTGCACATATTTGAACCCAAGTGTATGGGACGTGTGAGCATCTCTGTCCCTGGACCCACTTGGGTGTATGTGAGCACTCCTGTTTGTGCCTGTGTATACCGAGTGTGTGTATGAGTGCAATTGTATGTGCTTATGTTTTTCAGGGGAATAAGGGTGGCTTTGATCCAGCCTAAATTGGGATGTTTCCTGCCCAGGGAGGGTTTCCTGAGGGTGGGGAGAGGTCACAGCTTCTCAAGAAGCTGGTGGGAAGACTAGGCCCACCTGCATCCTGTCCTGTAGGGGGTTATGCAGATGAGATGCAAATGAGGGCTTGATCCTCAGCCCCACCCAACTCTCCAAAAGCCAGTTTGCCCAGTGAGCATTTGGATCCTCTCTGCAGCCAGAGACTGTGTGAAGGGAGGTGCTGGGGACATAAGGATGTATTTATAAACCTGTTCCCTTGAATATGAAAAATAGCTATGAATAGAAACAGCATAAATAAAATCTTATTCATAAAAATTACAGCCCTATGAATTCTTCCTATTTGGTAACATAATGAAGACTATGTTAAAAATAGATTTTTCATCAATACCTTTCTAAGAATCTATAAAGAGAATATTTAGGTATTCTGAAGCCTTCCGCTCACCCCTCTCTCTGCCCCAGGGCCTCCCCTCCCTGCTCCTAGGTCTCCTCCCCTTCTGTCTTTTGGCCCTGCCCCCCCATCCCTCAGTCTTCCTCCTCTCTGCCCAGGCTGTGCTAAATGCCAGCTCTTTTTTCTGCCTTTCCTTTTACAGAAGGAGCCTGGAAAGGGACAAACTTAACTTTCTTTTTAAAATGCTGTCAGAATAGGCCAGGCGCAGTGGCTCACGCCTGTAATCCTAGCACTTTGAGAGGCTGAGGCAGGTGTATCACCTGAGATCAGGAGTTCAAGACCAACCTGGCCAACAGGGTGAAACCCCATCTCTACTAAAAATACAAAATTAGCCGAGCATGAGGGTGTGCACCTGTAATTCCAGCTACTTGGGAGGCTGAGGCAGGAGAATCACTTGAACCTGGGAGGTGGGGGTTGTAGTGAGCTGAGATTGCACCACTGCACTCCAGCCTGGGCAACAGAGGGAGACCCTGTCTAAAAAAATAAAAAGCAGTCAACAAAAATCAAACCCTTATAGGAGACAAATAAATGTGGGCAATTATTCTCTGCAAAATGCCCTCCAAGCCCCTGGGCGCCATTGCCTCTTGTAATAGGACGTCACCTGAATAGGTCCTGGGCTGCAGCCAAGGACCCTCCCTGACTCCCATCTCCCTTTCTGCCTCATACCCCAGCCGGGTAGAAGAGACCGGAGTGGTGCTGTCCCTGGAGCAAACGGAGCAACATTCTCGCAGACCCATTCAGCGGGGCAGCCCCTCTCAGAAGGACGCTTCTAACTCTGGGGGCAGCCTTGGTATGGGGCAGGGCTGGGGCTGGGAGGGGTTGTGTCCCTAGGGCCCTTGGGAGAAAGCCCAAGCACCTTCACATGGCCCGCCACGCCCCGTGGGACCTGCCTCCCTTCCCTGCGCACTCAGCCTCCAAACCACACGGCCTCCTAAGAGCCCTCGGAATGCTCCAGCTTCGTGCCTCAGGGCCTTTGCACGTGCAGTCTCCTCCGCCCAGAATGCTCTTCTCTCTCCCATCCTCCCTCCTCTCCTGTGGCTATAGCATGGTTGCTTCAGCCTCGTGCTGGCCTCTGCTCTAAATTCTGCTGTGGCCCCGCGTTGCCCCCGGGCTTCTGGCTCCTTCCGTTTGGCTTTGCTGCTCTTTGGCTTCCAGTAATCTCGATCTACCTAAGTCTGGCTCCTTTCTCCCTCTTCCCTCTTTCTCTTTGCATCCTGGATGAGCCTCCCTCCCGGTTTGTCCTTCAAGCTCTTGCTGGCTGCCCATGCTTCTGGGTGTGGGGCGGGATTGCAGATATGACATCCTTTCGTTTTGTGGCTCTGGGCTTTGTCTTAACCTCTGGGGACCTTACAGCCTCCTTGAGGGCTTGGGGCCAGTCTTCTCTCCTAAGGTGCAAGTTCCCTAGAGCTGAATGGCCAAATGCTGTTCTGGGCCACCACTCCCCTCCCCTAGGACCTTCCAGAGACTTACCACAATCTGGCCACTGAAGTTTACACCTGGGCCAGGTGTGGTGGCTCATGCCTGTAAATCCAGCACTTTGGGAGGCTGAACTGGGCGCATCACTTGGGGTCAGGAGTCTGAGATCAATATAATGAAACCCTGTCTCTACAAAACATACAAAAATTAGCTGGGCATGGTGGCACCCACCTGTAATTCCAGCTGCTCGGGAGGCTGAGGCAGAAGCTGCAGTGAGTTGAGATTTCGCCACCGCACTCCAGCCTGGGTGACAGAGCGAGGCACTAAGAACAGTGACCATCCTGACTTGCTGAAGATGTCAACTGTGTTCCTGGGGTTGTTGTGGAGGGCTCTGTCCCTCAGCCCGAGGTCACCAGCCCGTGTCCTCCCTGTCTCCACATGTCCTGCAGATGCTCCTGGCCCCCGGATCCTCGCCTTCCTGCACCCCCCTTCCATGAGCGAGGCTGCCCTGGCCGCTGACCCCCGCCGTTTCTGCAGCCCTGACCTCCGTCGCCTCCTGGGACCAATCCTGGATGGGGCTTCAGTAGCTGCCACCCCCAGCACCCCACCAGCCACACGGCGCCCCCGAAGTCCTCTTTCGGTAAGCCATCCCACCCATGTGAGCCCTCAGCATCCAGGGCTCAGTCCCCCGGGTGGTCTTGGCCTGTGACTTAAACCTGGCTGTCCTCTGGGACTCAGTTTCTCCATCTGTGTAGTGGGGAGGTTGGGATGAGATGAGGTTTAGGTTCCTTTAAGATCCAGATCCAGATTCTTCAACTGTTAGAATTCCAGAATCTGCCTCCATTTAGGGAAAAACTTTCTCAAGCTATGTTTTTCCTCTGTTCTCCTAATAATGCAACAATTATCAACACAGAAGAAGACTATGTGACCAAATGTGGGTAACGTTCCCCACACACCAAGCAGCAGACTCAGCTGGGTGTCCTCTAATTCACTTCCAGCACCAGCTACCTGGAGATAGTGTCAGACCCCACAGGTTGAGGCTCAGTCCCCAAGACTGCTCCTTGTTCTTCAGACACCAGTCACAAGTCTGGGCCTCCAGAATTTCTTTTTTATTTTAATTTTTGACATGGAGTCTCACTCTGCCACCCAGGCTGGAGTGCAATGATGCAATCTCAGCTCACTGCAACCTCCACCTCCCAGGTTCAAGCAATTCTCCTGCCTCAACCTCCTGAGTAGCTGAGATTACAGGCGTGCACCACAATGCCCGGCTAATTTTTGTGTCTTTGGTAGAGACGGGGTTTCACCAAGTTAAACAGGTTGGTCTTGAACTCCTAACCTCAGGTGGTCCAATCACTTCGGCCTCCTAAAGTGCTAGAATTACAGGCGCGAGCCACCAAGCCTGGCCTTGGCTGTTTTTTCTTTGTTTCTTTGTTTCCTTTCTTTTTTGAGACAAAATCTCACTCTGTCACCCAGGCTAGAGTGCAGTGGTGCCTCAGCCTCCTGGGTAGCTGGGATTACAGGTGTGTGCTACCACACCTAGCTAATTTTTTGTATTTTTAGTAGAGACAGGGGTTCACCATGTTGGCCAGGCTGGTCTTGAACTCCTGGCCACAAATGATCCGGTTGCCTCAGCCTCCCAAAGTGTTGGGATTACAGGTGTGAACCACCATGCCCAGCCTCCAGAATTTCTGACCAACCAGCTTCAAGTTGGGGTTCTCATGACCTCCTCTTTGGGTTTGATTTTTTTATTATTTTTTTAATTTTTTATTGTTTTGAGATAGAATCCCACTCTGTCGCCCAGGCTGGAGTGCAGTGGCACGACCTTGGCTCACTGCAACCTCTGCTTCCTAGGTTCAAGCAATTCTCTTGCCTCACCCTCCCAATTAGCTGAGATTACAGGTGTGTACCACCACACTCGGTTAATTTTTTGTATTTTTATTAGAGACAGGGTTTCACCATGTTGGCCAGGCTGGTCTTGAACTCTTGACCTCAAGTGATCTGCCAAAGTGCTGGAATTATAGGCGTGAGCCGTCGCACCTGGCTCTTCGGGTCTGATGAATTTGCTGAAGCAGCTCATAATAGACAGGAGGACACTTACTTAGGTTGACTGGTTCATTGTCAAGGATATTGCATGGGATACAGATGAAGGGATACATTGAGTGAGATATGGGGGAAATAAGGGTCTTGGAGCTTCCATGCCATCCCTGGGCACCACCCTCCAGAAACTTCCATGGGTCAGCTATCTGGAAGTCCCTCAAACCCAGTCCTCTTGGGTTGTTATGGAAGCTTCATGCTGTCAGCATTTTTTCCCCCAGGATATCAAGCAGAACCCTCTCTGGGGACAGTCTTATGACTCACAGTTAGAAAAACGGGGGGAGATTAGAGGTCTGCCTTAGAGCAGGTGAAAAGAGGGCAGAAGAAGTCTGGAGAGAGTCTGTTTCCTGAGGCCTAATACACCCAACATTGTAACTAAAGACTGTAACAAGGGTCATGAGAGTTTGACCCAGGAACCATGCACGAAACCATATGTATAAAATACACCACAGGCCCTGTATTAGTGCGTCTTCACACTGCTGCTAAAGACCTTCCCAAGACTGGGTAATTTATAAAGAAAAAAAGGTGTAATGGACTCACAGTTCCACATGGCTGGGGAGGCCTCACAATCATGGCGGAAGGTGAAAGGTACATCTTACATGGTGGCAGGCAAGAGAGAATGAAAACCAAGCGAAAGGGGTTTCACCTTATAAAACCATCAGATCTCATGAGACCTATACACGACCACAAGAACAGTATGGGGGAAACCCCCCCATGATTCAGTTGTCTCCTACCGGGTCCCTCCCACAATGTATGGGAATCATGGGAGCTACAGTTCAAGATGAGATTTGGGTAGGGACACAGCCAAACCACATGAGGCCCCCAACCTAGGATGTTTGGAGCTGGCACAGATGACCCTCCTCCCTCTCCAGCTTGTGACCAAGCATCCAGTTCTCTGAACTTTGACCTCAAAGAGTCAAAACGTCTAATGTCCTGATTTACACAGACCTACATTCATTCCTAAATCTGCCATTTATCAGCTGCATTACCCTGGCTGGGCAAGTGAGTTCCTGAGACCTTAATTTCTTCACCTGCAAAAGAAAGATAATAACAAGTTGCCACATCATTGGTTATTCTAAGCATTAAATGAGAGTATTCATGAGAAGCACTCAGTAGGGGCCTGGCACCTGTTGGCGCTCAATAGATCATACCAGTTACTATCACTATTTAGGGTGAGGATAGGTGACCTTTGACCTCGGTGGGTCCATATTGTCCAGTGTTGACTGTCTTCATCCCCACTCTCCACCCCAAGAAAATATCTTCTCTGTGAAGAAATACAGTCTGTGACCTTTGACCTCACCCTTCACCCCTGAGACAGCTGGCCTCTCCATTGTTTCCCCCTAAAACTCCAGATTCCAAGACCTTTAACCCCAGAGAATTTGTTTGAAAGTCTTGGCCTCAGGCCAGGTGTGCTGACTCACACCTGTAATCCCAGCACTTTGGGAGGCTAAGGTGGGCGGATCACCTGAGATCAGGAGTTCAAGACCAGCCTGACTAACATGGTGAAACCCTGTCTCTACTAAAAATACAAAAATTAGCCAGGCATGGTGGCAGGTGCCTGTAATCCCAGCTACTCGGGAGACTGAGGCAGGATAATCACCCGGGAGGTGGAGGTTGCAGCGAGCCGAGATTACACCATTGCACTCCAGTCTAGGTAACAAGAGCAAAACTCCATCTCAAAAAAAAAAAAAAAAAAAGGAAAGTCTTAGCCTTAGGCTCTGATTTTTTTGTAAGCAGTGCCTTGCTCTGTCACCCAGGCTAGAGTGCAGTGGCACAATCATAGCTCCGCCAAGCCCAGCCAAGCTCTGATCTTTCTAACCTTCCATGTTTGGCCTGTCAGTCTACATACACCCAGGTGCTCTGACTTCTGAACACCCAGGTTCAAAACTCATCTGCATTTGCCATTGGACCCCCTTGGTGCCCCAGATGCCTGGCATTTGACCCCCACCTCTACCCTTGAGCTGCAGACTGTCTTACTGTTGATACATCCTAGGCTCAAGATTTCCTTAAGTCTCCACTCCGTCTCTCCACAGGCTGATCTCCCAGATGAACTACCTGTGGGCACAGAGAATGTGCACAGACTCTTCACTTCTGGGAAAGACACTGAGGCAGTGGAGACAGATTTAGATGTAGCTCAGGTAAGGGCTGGCGTGGAAGGAGTAATCCTCAGCCCTCTGTTCTGGGGATCCACATATGTGGCTTTAGAGAAGGGTAGTGGGATGGGTAAAGGAATGAGTGGATGGATGGATGGAGGGAGGGATGGAAGGATGGAGGGATGGAGGGATGGACCACTGTATTTATTAGGTGGATGATGGTAGATGAATGGATGATGTTTAGGCAGATATTTTAATGGATGGACAGATGGATAGATGGATGGATGAATGTTTAGATGGATATTTTGATAGATGGATGAAAAATGAATGGGTGATATTTAAATGGATAATTTATTGAGTGCATAGATAAAATGACAGTGGCCAGATGTATTAGTTATCTATTGCTGTGTTACAAATTGCCTAAAAACTTAACACCTTAAAACAGCAAATATTATGTCACATGGTGACTGAGTATCAGAAATTCAGGAGCAAGTTAGCTGCTGGTTTTTGCTCAGAGTCTCTCATGAGACTGAAGTCAAACTCTCAGCCAGGGCTCCAGTCATTTGGGGTTAGAGGGTTTTCTTCCAAGCTCATACACATGAGGTTGTTGGCAGGCCTCAGTCCCTCACCCTGTTTTGTCTGGAGGCCTCAGTTCCTCATCACGTGAGCACAAAATGGCAGTTGGCTTCCCTAAGGCAAGCAATCCAACCAAGAGAGAAAGAAAGAAATGGGGAAGCAGAGAGACGGAAAGAACAAGTCCCAGACAGAAGACACAGTCTTTCATAGCCTACTCTCAAAAGTGACAAAGCCTCACTTCTGCCATATTGTTTTGGTCCTACAGATAAATCCTGTACACTGTGGGAGGCAGGCAATAGTATAAGAGTGTGAACATCAAGAGGCAGGGATCATTGGGAACTTCCAATGACCGATGTCCCTTCCTCAGGCAAAATACACTCACCCTCCTCTCAAAGCCCCCAGAGTCTCCCAAAGTTTCTTCCCATTACAGCACCAGCTTGAAGTCCAGAGTCTGATCATCTGAATCTAGTTTGCATGCTGGTGAAGCTCTTTAAGTACCATTCCTCTCAATATTTTGGCTTGTGGACTGCTGGAGACAAGTCATCTGTCACCCACATACTCAATATACAATGATAAGACAGGAATAGACACTACTATTCAAAAAGGAGCAGAAGAGGAGCATGCATGTATCCCTGGTCCATCCATGGGGGCAAATATCAGAAGTTCTTTCTTTTCCTTTTTTTTTTTAAATTGAGACAGAGTCCCCAGGCTGAAGTGCAGTGGTGCGATCTTGGCTCACTGCAATCTCTGCCTCGCTGGTTCAAGAGATCCTTCTGTCTCAGCCTCCCAAGTAGCTGAGATTACAGGTGCCTGCCACCACATGCAGCTAATTTTCTGTATTTTTTGTAGAGACGGGGTTTTGCCATGTTGGCCAGGCTGGTCTTGAACTCCTGACCTCGTGATTCACCCACCTTGGCCTCCCAAAGTGCTGGGATTACAGGCATGAGCCACCTTGCCAGCCCAGAAGTTCTTTCATTATAAAGAACTTTAGTAATGAAAAAGAATGTTTAAAAGTAGGGGCCGGGCGCGGTGGCTCACGCCTGTAATCCCAGCACTTTGGGAGGCCGAGGTGGGTGGATCACGAGGTCAAGAGATCGAGACCATCCTGGTCAACATGGTGAGACCCCATCTCTACTAAAAATACAAAAAATTAGCTGGGCATGGTGGCGCGTGCCTGTAATCCTAGCCACTCGGGAGGCTGAGGCAGGAGAATTGCCTAAACCCAGGAGGCGGAGGTTGCGGTGAGCCGAGATCGCGCCATTGCACTCCAGCCTGGGTCACAAGAGCGAAATTCTGTCTAAAAAAAAAAAAAAAAAAAAAAAAAGTAGAGACCAGGTCTTGCTATATAGCCCAGGCTAGTCTTGAACTCCTGGGATCAAGTGGCAGCTTTAACTTCCCACCTTGGCTTTCCAAAGTGCCGGGATTAGAGGTATGAGCCACTGTGCCTGGCCCAAGGGTGCTCTGCATTGCTCAGAGACAACTTCTTTTTTTTGAGATAGAGTCCCACTCTGTCACCCAAGCTGGAATGCAGTGGCGTGATCTCGGCTCACTGAAACTTCTAACTCCCAGGTTCAAATGATTCTCTGGTCTCAGCCTCCTTACTAGCTGGGACTACAGGTGCCCACCACCACGCCAGGCTAATTTTTGTATTTTTATTAGAGGGGGATTTCACCAGGCTGGCTCAGAGACGATTCTTAATAATAGCATCATTAGCCATCTGAGGGCTCCTGCAGTCAGCCAAGCTCAAGGTTAATGGCATGGTTCTCCTGAACACCAAGTCTGCCCAAGGCTTCTGACATCAGCCACGAGTTTGAAGGTCCCCAGAGCCACCTTCGCTTTAGACCAGCTGCCCACCAGTGTGGAGATACCCAGACTCCTGTAGACTCCCTCAGGCTTGATAACTTGCTAGAGGTGTTCATCTACTCAGAAAGTGCTATACTTAGGATTGTAGCTTTATTATAACAAAAGAATACAAATCAGAAACAGACAAAGGAAAATATTCATAGGTGGAATCTGGGACTGGAGGGTCGCAAATGGAAAGTTTTCTTGTCCTCAGGGACGTTATCCTTCCAGCATTGATATGTAGCAATATGTGCAGAGTAATGCCAACTCAGGAAGCTCACCAAAGCATCAGTGTTCAGAGTTTTCATTGGGGTTTCATCGCATAGGTATGATTGAGCAAATTGCTGTCCATGTCATTGAATTCGGTCTCCAATGCCACCCCTACCTTCCCTGGATCAGGCTGATTGTGTGTGGACCAAAGCCCCAACTCTTTCATCACGTGGTCATTCTTTCTGCATGGTCAGCCTCCATCCTGAGTTATCTCATCGGCATAAACCACCTAGGGGTTCACCATGAGTCAGCCGGTTAGCATGAACTATCCAAAGGACCCGCAATGAGTAGCAAAGACACTGCTATCACTCAGGAAATTCCAAGGGTTTAGAAGTTCCCTTCTAGGAGCTGGGACAACAGACCTCGCTTTGGGTAAAGTTATTCACTACACGAGGAGGTTGAGAATCTTCGAAACCTTCAAGTCCTCTCTCTTTCATGTTTAACATTCCTTCTCTCTCTCTCTCTTCTCTTGCCTTTTACTGTAAGTAACAAGAAGAAATCAGGAAGTCTCTCCAACACTCTGGCTGGAAATCTCAGCCACATCACCTGGTGTATTTGTTATATTTCCTACTTTCCACATCGCTCCAGGCCACTACAGGATAAACATTCTCTTCCCTCTGGTTTCAGTAATGTTTCTCACTTCTCTGTAATCTCTCACTGAGCTTTCTTAATGTAATATTCGGATTTTGACCAATGGTTTCTTTGAGGCATTTAGGATTTATTTCTTCCTTCCTTTCTCTTTCTTTCTTTCTCTCTCTCTTTCTTTCTTTTTTTTTTTGATGGAGTCTTGCTCTGTTGCCAGGCTGGAGTGCAGTGGCACAATCTTGGCTCACTGCAACCTCCACGTCCTGGGTTCAAGCGATCCTTCCGCCTCAGCCTCCCGAGTAGCTGGGACCACAGGTGTGTGCCACTGCACCCAGCTAACTTTTGTATTTTTAGTAGAGACGGTGTTTCACCATGTTGGCCAGGATGGTCTTGATCTCTTGACCTTGTGATCTGCCCACCTCCATCTCCCAAAGTGCTGGGATTACAGGCAGGAACCACCATGCCCTGCCCTTTCTTTCTTTCCGTGTCTCACTCTGTCACTCAGGCTAGACTGCGATTGTGTAATCATGGCTCACTGCAACCTCAAACTCTTGGGCTCAAACAATCCTCCCACCTCAGCCTCCTGAATAATTAGAACTACAGGCATGGGCCACCACACCTGGCTAACTGTTTTCATTTTTGTGGAGATACGAGTCTCGCTATGTTACCCAGACTGGTCTTGAACTTCTAGCCTCAGGTGATTCTCCCGACTCAGCCTCCTAAAAGCTCTGGGATTACAAGTGTGAGCTACCATGCCTCTGACTCAATTTGGGATTTCTCTAACATCCTCTTCAGAGAGTCCCTATACCCATTTTTATAGATGAGGAAACTGAAGCTCAGACTGTTGGCCGCAGGCACAGAACTCAGAAGTGGTGGTGCGATGACTTCAGCCTAGGTCCACCCAAGTCCAAGGCTCTTGCTCTTACTTCCCTCCTGCCCTCCACAGGATGCTGATGCTCTGGATTTGGAGATGCTGGCCCCCTACATCTCCATGGATGACGATTTCCAGCTCAACGCCAGCGAACAGCTACCCAGGGCCTACCACAGACCTCTGGGGGCTGTCCCCCGGCCCCGTGCTCAGAGCTTCCATGGCCTGTCGCCTCCAGCCTTTGAGCCCTCCCTGCTGCCCCGCTGGGGGAGTGACCCCCGGCTGAGCTGCTCCAGCCCTTCCAGAGGGAACCCCTCCGCATCCTCTCTCATGGCTGGGGCTCGGAAGAGGTGAGCCATAATAAAGGGGGAATGTCAGGGGAGCATCCCCTCACCCCATCTTGCCCCTGCCTCCTGCCTCAGCCTCATCTCTCAGCATTTCTTTAACCCTGATCTCTGCTCCAGCCAGGCCTTCAGTGGGCCCACCATGCTCCAAGTTTATGCCCATCTCTATGCCTTTGAAGTGCCCTCCACTGCTCTCACTGTTTATCCAAATCCCACCTTTCAACCAGAGGGCTCTCTCCTTTGGAACATAGTTCTATCTGATCTAGTGATAATTTTTGTCAGAGTTTAGAAGACATTGCCACCATGTCGGAGAAACTATCTAACGTGAGTGTGGTGATGCATGCCTGTAGTCCCAGCTACTTGGGAGGCTGAGGTAGGAGGATCACTAGAGCCCAGGAGTTCAAGGCTACAGTGAGCTGGGATTGTGCCACTGCCTCAGCCTGGGCAACAGTGAGACCCTGTCCAAAAAAAAAAAAGATGAAAGAAAGAGCAGAGAGAGAGGAAGGAAAGAAGGGAGAGAGGGAGAGAGGCGAAGGAAAATAAAAAGAAACTGTCTAGAACTATGTTGCAAGCATGTGCTCACTTCGAATCCAGAGTGGTTTCTGCTTTTATGGATACATCTTGGCATCTCCCAAGGCACCCAGCTTGGTGCTGGCTATAAAGTGGGTACCTGATAAAGACTTATAAAATGAGGGATGGATGGAATTATTAATGAATATTGTTGTCACTTTTTTGGGTGGACAGGTGGTTGGATGGAGGGGTGGATGGAAGGACAGATGGATGGACATATAGATAAAAGGGTATACGTATGCACATGTGGATGGATGGATGGATGTCTGAGTAGACAGAAGGATGGATGGATGGATGAGTTAATGAGTGGCTGGAGGGAAGGAAGGATGGATGAATGGATTAATGGATGGATGGATCAATGAATTAATGGATGGATAGCAGATGGATGGTGAATGGATGTATGGATGGATGGATCAATGGATTAATGGATGATGGCAGATGGATGGTGGATGGATGGCACATGGATGGATGGATGGATCAATGGATAGATGGATGGATGGATGAATGGATAGATAGATGGATGGTGGATGGTAGTTGGACGGCAAATGGATGGATGGATAGATGAATGGATGGATGGAGGATGACTGGGTGGATAGAAGTATGAATAGATAGATGGAGGACAACTAGGTGGATAAATGGAAGGATAGATGGATGGAGGTTGTTTGGGTGGGTGGGTAATGGTTTATTGGATAAATGAGAAGATGGATTGGTAGATGGATGAATGGTGAATGGATGGATGGCAGATGGATGCTGGATGGACAGTGGATGGATAGGTGGATGGATAGATGGATGGATGGATGGATGGGAGATGGTGGATGGACAGCAGATGGATGGATGGATGGATGAATGGATGGATGGTAGATTGAATGGTGAATGGATGGATGGGAGATGGATGATGGATAGACAGTGGATGGATGGAGGGATGGATGGATGGGAGAGAGTTGGTGGATAGACAGCAGATAGACGGATGGATGGATGGTGGATGGCTGGGTGTGTAGAAGGATGAATGGATAGATGCAGGACAACTAGGTGGATAAATAGGTGGTTGAATGGAAGGATAGATGGATGGAAGCTGGGGGATGGATTATTGGATAAATGAGAAGGATTGGTGGATGGATGGATGGACTGGTGGGTGTATGAGCAATAATAGGTGCTCAAGGGAGTGAACAAATGCTCATCACCTGCTTACATTGTGACCCGCACTTGCCCAGGTGTGCTGTGTCCTAAGATTCTTGCCTGTTTTCCTCCAGGACCCTGGCCCAGAGCTCAGAAGGCGAGGATGAGGGAGTGGAGCTGCTGGGAGTGCGACCTCCCAAAAGATGCCCCAGCCCAGAACCTGGAAACTTTCTGCTGTTTCCCCTCAGCCTGGTGTGTTGCGGGATTAATGGGATTTTCTGGCCCTCATTAGCTAGCTGGCTTAAATCTCCTGTTTTATAAGTAGGAAACCAGAGAGGGGCACAGGCTGGTTGAGAGTCATACTGAAGATCAGTGGGCCAGCTGAGGCTGGGGCCTGATTGTCTAGTTTCACTAATGGGTACTAAGAAGCTCTGCAGTGAGCTGAGATCGTGCCACTGCATTCCAGCCAGGGGTGACAGAGTGAGACCTTGTCTCAAAAAAAAAAAAAAAAAAAAAAATATATATATATATATATATATATATATATATATACACAGTAAGTGCAAAGAAGGAAAATTGAACAGGATAAGGGGAGACATGGCATGTGGTTGGTATCTGCAGGCCTCTTCTCTGTTCCCATGGGACCCTCTCACAAAACTAAAATAGGTCTTGGCTTTGGATTACTAGTGCAGAGTTCAAAGTACAGACACTAGAAAGACTGACCTGGGTTCAAGTCCCAGGTCTGCCACCCAGTAACTGAGACCTTGGGCAGGTGACATCAGCACATGGAGCCTCAGTTTCCTCATCCAGAAAGTAGGAACAGTTCTATCTCAGGGGACTGCCGTGAGAATTAAAGGAAAAGAGGCGCTTAGCTGACGCTCAGTGTGGTGTACGAAAACAAGCCAAATGGCCGGGCGCGGTGGCTCATGTCTGTAATTCCAGCAATTTGGGAGGCCGAGGTGGGCGGATCATCTGAGGTCAGGAGTTCAACACCAGCCTGGCCAACATGATGAAACCCCATATCTACTAAAAATACATAAATTAGCCGGGTGTTGTGGCGGGCACCTGTAATCCCAGCTACTTGGGAGGCAAAGACAGGAGAATCGCTTGAACCCAGGAGGCGGAGGTTGCAGTGAGCCGAGACCATGCCACTGCACTCCAGCCTGGGCAACAAAGAACAAAACTCCATCTCAAAAAAACAAACAAACCAAACAAAAGCAGCCTCCCCACAGTGTCCCTCCTCCTGTCTCTCCCCAGCTATTCATTCTGCATGGCAGCAACCACAGTGCCCTTTTTCAAAGCCTGGGCAAGGTGCAGTGGTTCCCACCTGTAATCCCAGCACTTAGGGAAGCCAAGGCAGGAAGATCACTTGAACCCAGGAGTTCAAGACCAGCCTGGGCAACATAGTGAGATGCCGTCCTCTACAAAAAAAAAAAAAAAAAAAAAAAAAAAAAATTAATATTAATATTAAAAAGTTAACCAGGTGTGGTGGCATGTGCCTGTAGTTCCTGCTACTCTGGAGTCTGCCCTGAGAGAGGTTCACCTGAGCCTGGAAGGTCAAGGCTGTAGTGAGCCTGTGATCGTGCCACTGCACTCCAGCCTGGATGACAGCACAAGACCCTGTCTCAAAAACTTAAAAACAAAAAAGCCAGCCTGGACTATGTCACTTCTACAAGGCCTCCCTCTAGGACCTTTCATGGCTCCCTAGTGCTTACAGTAGTGCCTTGGTTCTTCGCTCTGCAAATGTTTGAATGTGAGATGTGGTTGTTAATATAACAGTTTACAGGCCAGACGCAATGCCTCACACCTGTAAGCCGGGTAGTTTGGGAGGATGAGGTGGGAGGATCACTTGAGGTCAGGAGTTCAAGACCAGCCTGGCCAACATGGTGAAACCCTGTTCTTACTAAAAATACAAACATTAGCTGGGAGTGGTAGTGTACACCTGTATTTCCAGCTACTCAGGAGACTGAGGCACAAGAATTGCTCAAACCCAGGAGGCAGAGATTGTGTAGTGAGCCAAGATTGTGGCATTGTATCCCAGCCCGGAGGACAGAGTGACATTCTGTCTCAGAAAAAAAAAATATATATATATTATATATATAATATAAAAGCAATATATTATATATTATATAATATAAAATAATATATACTATATATAAATATATTATATAAATTATATAAATATATATTAATGCATACAATATATAATATATATTATATAATATTTTATTATATATTATATAAAATACATATTTTATGTGTGTATGTGTGTATATATGTGTGCATATGTTATTATCTCATGGTATATGTTATACATATGTATTATATGTGTATATACATATATGACAGCTTACACTTATTAAGTGCCTCCCATGTACCAGACACTGACTGCACTAAATTCCTTGCATGACTAACTTATTTAATCCTCACAACTAGTATTGAAATATTCTTGTTACTATTACACACATTTATGCAAATGAAGTTAAACCACTGTATCAGAGTCTGGGCAGGAAAGGTAGCCCCGTCAGATGGAGCGTTGAGGATTTAATAACAGGACTGTTGAAAAAAGTGTTAACATAGTGCAGGGAAATCAACAAGGCTGGTACAGTACCCTGGGCACGCATGGGAAGTAAGCACCAGCCTTGGCCTGAAGTTGCAGGACGGGTGGTCACCAGATCCTGCAGTGGGTGGAGTCCAGCTAATACAGGCTGACACCTTCCATGGAGGAGACCACCAACCCACAAAGAAGAATAAATACCCCACCTGCTGGTATCTCCTGTGAGCTCACCAACAGGAACACACGGAGCAAAGTTGCAGGCTGTTACAGCCCCTGCGCACAGGTCCTCGGGCAGGGAGGAAGAAGGAGAAGAGGGAACAAGGCTCTGGGGGAGGACAGGGACTGACCCAAAGTCATGCCACTTCCAGGTGGCCACTGGATCCCAGCAGCCCTTAACCACTGCACCATCTTGTCTCTGGATCTTCCTCCCTTCCTCCCTTCTTCCCTTCTTTTCTTCCTTCCCTCCATCCCTCCCTTTCTCCTTCCCTTCCTTTCTTCTCTTTCTCTTACTTTTCTTTCACTCTCCTTTCTTTCTCTTTCCTTCTTTCTTTCTCTCCTCTCTCTCTCTCTCTCTCTCTCTTTCTTTCTTTTCAATGGAGTCTCACTCTGTCACCCAAGCTGGAGTGCAGTGACACGATCTTGGCTCACTACAACCTCCTCCTCCCAGGTTGAAGCAATTCTCCTGCCTCAGCCTCCCAAGTAGCTGGGATTACAGACGAGCACCATCACGAACCTGGCTAATTTTTGTATTTTTAGTAGAGAAGGGGTTTCACCATGTTGGCCAGGCTGATCTTGAACAACTAACCTCGAATAATCTGCCCACCTCAGCCTCCCAAAATGCTGAGATTGCAGACGTGAGCCACCGTGCCTAGCTTCTTTTGTTTTTAAATTTTTTTGTAGAGATAGGGTTTCATTATGTTGCCCACGCTAATCTCAAACTCCTGACCTCAAGTGATCCTCCCACCTTGGCCTCCCAAATTACAGGCATGAGCCACTGTGGTTGGCCTTATTTTTTATTTATTTTATTTTATTTTTGTTATTATTATTTTTTTTTTTTTTAGAGATAGGGTCTCTGTCACCCAGACTGGAATGCAGTGACACTATCATAGCTCACTGTAACCTCAAACTCCTGGTCTCATGGAATCCTCTCACCTCAGCCTCCTAAGTAACTGGGACTACAGGCACGTGCCACCACACTCAGCTAATTTTTAAATTATTGGTAAAGATGAGCTCTCACTATCTTGCCCAGGCTGGTCTCAAACTTTTGGGCTTAAGCGATCCTCCCACCTCAGCCTCCCAAAGTACTGGGATTACGGCCACTGTGCCCAGCTATGGCTTGGATACTGATGATGATAATGATGGGTGGTGGTGGTTTTGTCCCTCTCTCCCACAGAGTTTCCTTCTGACAGGAGGACCAGCCCCAGGGAGCCTGCAGGACCCCAGCACCCCGCTCCTGGACCTGAATGAGCCCCTGGGTGAGTAGCACCCTTTCCCCTGGGAGGTATAAGAGGGATGGAGCCATTCCAAAGGTGCTGGGGGACTATCAGTGCTTGGAGATGACCTTGGTGGAAATGGCAGCTCCTGTCTCTTCTCTCTTCTCATGGGCACTGTGGAGGAGTGGGGAAGAGAGACCCTAAGGGAGGTAGGGGCTCTCCAAGGCTGCCCTTTGGGGTGGAAGCCAAGCCCCGGCCCGAGACTAGATCTCTGGAGCCTACATGCCCATGATCACACTTTATTATCATTTATTTATTTATTTTTGAGACAAAGTCTTGCTCTGTCGCCCAGGCTGGAATGCAGTGGTACAATTTCAGCTCACAGCAACTTCCACCTCCTGCGTTCCAGTGATTCTCCTGCCTCAGCCTCTCAAGTAGTTGGGATCACAGGTGTGCACCACCACACCCAGCTAATTTTTGTATTTTTTGTAGAGACAGGGTTTCGCCATGTTGGCCAGGCTGGTCTCGAACTCCTGACCTCAGGTGATCTGCCTGCCTCAGCCTCCTAAAGTGCTAGGTTTACAGGTGTGAGCCACTGCATCCAGGCTAAAAATGTTTTTAGATGTTAAAAAAAAAAGTTTTAAAGGAAATGTCTGCCGTGTGGCTATCGTGGTGATGGTGCTTCCCACAGCCCCTCCACAGAGCATGAGGCAAGCTGTCATTTTACAGTACAACTATCAAAAGCCATAGCTTCACTTGAAACCTCCATGTATCAGCCAGAGGAATCTTTTCAGAGCCTGAATCTGACCCTGGCCCTCCTCTGCTCAAAGCCCTTCCATGGCTCCCTAACGCCCTTCAAAGAAAGATCAAGCTCCTCACTTGAACTTAGATCCCTGCAGGGTCTGATCTCTGCTACATCTGGGACCACACTGTGCTCTGTTTCAGCCACAGTCACTGTCTTTCAGTTTATTCCTTCCTTCATGCGTGTAACAAATATTTATAGAGCATGCAGTAAGCACCAGGCATAGTTCTAGGGGCTGGAGACACGTTGTGAACAAAATGCATAGAAATCTCTGCCCTTGTGGAGCTGACATTCTAGTGCAGGAGACAGACCGTAACAAAGAAACCAGTACAAGAGCCAGGCACAGTGCCTCACGCCTGTAATCCCAGGACTTTGGGAGTCAAAAGTGGGAGGATCGCTTGAGGCTAGGAGCTTGAGACCAGCCTGGACAGTATAGCAAGCCCTTGACTCCACGAGATGGAGTCATGCCCTGTCACCCAAGCTGGAGTACACTGGTGCAATCTCAGCTCAATGCAACCTTCACCTCCTGGGTTCAAGCGATTCTCCTGCCTCAGCCTCCCGAGTAGGCATGTACTACCACACCCGGCTAATTTTTGCATTTTTAGTAGAGATGGGGTTTCGCCATGTTGGCCAGACTGGTCTTGAACTCCTGACCTCAGGTGATCCAACCACCTTGGCCTCCCAAAGTGCTGAGATTACAGGTGTGAGCTACCACACCTAACCTAAATTTTTTTTTTAAATTGGCTGGTGCATGTCTTTAGTCCTAGCTACTCTGGAGGCTAAAGTAGGAGGATCACTTGAGCCTGGGAGTTCAAGGCTGCAGTGAACTATGATGGTGCCACTGTGCTCCAGCCTGGGCAACATAGCGAGACCCTGTCTCAATTAAAAAAAAAAAAAAAAAGTCCAAGAGGGCTGGGCAAGTGCCTTGGGAGGCGATGGAGGGGAGGATCAGTTGAGACAAGGAGCTTGAGACCAGCCTGGGAAACATGGCAAGACCTGGTCTTTAGGAAAAAAATTTGAAAACCAGGTGGGTGTGGTGGCACGCACCTGTTATCCTAGTTTCTTGGGAGGCTGAGATGGGAGGATTGCTTAAGGCCAGGAGTTCGAGGCTGCAGTGAACTGTGACTGTACCACTGTACTCCAACCTGGGTGACAGAGTGAGACCCTGTCTCTATTTATTTATTTTCACATTTTCATTTTCTTTCTCTTTCTGTCTTTTTTTTTTTGAGACAGGTTCTTGCTCTGTCATTCTCGTCTCACTGCAACCTTAATGTCTCTTGGCTCAAGCGATCCTCCCACCTCAGCTTCCCAAGTAGCACCAACAAGTTTGGCTATTTTTTTTTTTTTTTTTTTTTTTTTTTTTATTGGTGATGGGGTTTCACCACGTTGCTCAGGCTGATCTTGAACTCCTGAGCTCAAGCAGTCCACTCACCTTGATCTTCCAAAATGCTAGGATTACAGGCATGAGCCACCACTCAGGCCCCTGGCTCTATTTAAATGAATAAACAGGCCAGGTGTGGTGACTGTTTATTGGTTTAAATAGAGCCCATTATGCCTGTAATCCCACCACTTTGGGAGGCTAAGTCGGGTGGATAATCTAAGGTCAGGAGTTCAAAACCAGCCTGGCCAACATGGCGAAACCCCATTTCTACTAAAAATAGAAAAATCAGCCAGGTGCGGTGGCTCATGCCTGTAATCCCAGCACTTGGAGAGGCTGAGTGGGCAAATTACAAGGTCAGGAGTTCAAGAGCAGCCTGGCCACGATGATGAAACCCTGTCTCTACAAAAATACAAAAATTAGCCAGGTGCAATGGTGGGCACCTGTAATCCCAGCTACTCAGGAGGCTAAGACAGGAGAACTGCTTGAGCCTAGGAGACGGCGGTTGCAGTGAGCCGAGATCACGCCATTGTACTCTAGACTGGGTGACAGAGCAAGACTCTGTCTCAAAAAAAAAAAAAAGAAGTATGATCAGGGTGGTTTCATTGAGGAGATGATAGTTGAGCAAAGATGTGGAGTGGCCCTGATGATATCGGGGGAAGAGTGTCCCAGGCAGAGAGAATGGCAAGTCCAAAGGCCCTTAGGCAGGGACTATATCTGCCTTTTTGGGGGTGGGGGAACTGTATCTTGCTCTGTTGCCCAGGCTGGAGCACAGTGGTGCAATCACAGCTCACTTCAGCCTTCAACTCCTGCGCTCAAGTGATCCTCCCATCTCAGTCTCCGTCGTAGCTGGGACTACAAGTACACTTCATCACATCTGGCTAATTTTTTAATTTCTGTAAAGAGGTCTTGTTATGTTGGGTAGGCTGGTCTCAAACTCCTGGGCTCAAGTGATCCTCCTGCCTCAGCCTCCCAAACTGCTGGGATTGTGCCTGGCTGTATCTGTCTTATTTGGGGAAAAGCAAGACCAGTGTAGCTGAAGCAGAGAGGAGAGAAAGGTGAGGGCTGACTGCATGGAGCCTCTGTGGGGCATTGTGATGTCTTTAAAGTCATCATAATGGAGGAGGCTGCCTCAGGGCCTGATATCCTGATCCTTCTGCCTGGAATACTTTTCCCTCTGTTCTGTGCCATGTTACCACATCCTTTAGATCTCAGATCAAATATGACTCCTTCCACAAAGCCCCCCTCACTTCATACGCTCGTGGCTTATAACACTCCATAACATAATTACGCAGGCCTCTGGGTCATCATTTGATTGCTGTCTGTCTTCTCCTTTGGGTACGAGACCTTTGAGGGCAGGGGCCGGGGCTATCTTGGTTCCTGCTGTATTCTTCTTTGTGCACATGGGTGGGTGGTGGCTGAGCACAGAGGGGGTTCTCTGCACATATTGGTGAATGAGGAGCTAAGATTCAAGCACTCACACTGTGCCTACTTCCTGCACCTGATCCAGTTGGCACTTCTCACTGGAATGTCCGTCTCACAGGGGCAGGGGCAGGGAGTGTCATCCATCCATCCTGTTCCTGCTGTGTCGCTAGCACCCGGCACAGTGCCTGACACAAAGTGGATACTCAGTAAATGTGTTGGGGTTTTTTGTTGTTTTTTAGGCAGGTTCTCACCTTGTCACCCAAGCTGGAGTGCAGTGGCACAAACAGTTCACTGCAGCCTCAACCTCTTGGGCTCAAGCGATCCTCCTACTTCAGCCCCCACAAGTCGCTGCGCCTACAGGCATGTGCCATCACACCTGGCTAATTTTTGTATGTTTTGTAGAGATGAGATTTTTCCATGTTGCCCAGGCTGGTCTTGAACTCCTAAGTTCAAGCAGTCCATCCGCCTCAGCCTCCCAAAGTGCTGGGATTATTGACATGAACCACTGCGCCCAACAGCAAATATGTTTTGAATGAGTAAATTCTCATAAATGAAGTAGGTGTGAGTATCCTGGTTTCCCAAGTAACAACAGCTGACTTAACTGTACTCTCACCAGTACTAGTTATGGTTCAGAGCACCTTCCATGGATGTACTCACTGATTCTTCGTTACAGCCCTGAGAGGGAGGCGCTGTTATTAGCCCATCTTACAGATGAGGAAACTGAGGCACAGAGAGGTGAAGTCACCTGCCCCAGGTCACACAGCAAATAAATAGCAATGCCTGGATTCCAACTAGGGAGCATCTGGCTCTGGACTCGGGTTCTTCACGGCAGCCCTGAACATCCCAGAGAGGTTCAGAGAGTGGAACGTGCCCAAGATGTCACTACTGTTTGAATCCAGGCAGGCCTGCTTCGCCACCCAGGCTTTTAACTCCCAGGAAGGGAAGATGGGTTGGGGTTATGGTTGTCCGATGATTTATATTTCATCTTTTCATTTGTCATTTCTCTTTCATCTTTGCAGGCCTGGGCCCCTCACTGCTCTCTCCATACTCAGACGGGGACACCGACCAGCCCCGGGGCCACTTCCAGCCAGCGGCAGGCTCGGGCCAGGCTGACTGAGCCAGCTCCTCTCCCCATCTCCCTTCTTCTCCCCCAGAAAGGACCTCAACCACACTCCAAGCCGGCAGCCGACGCACAGGATGGGGGCACCAGGAGAGGGCCCCTCTCTCCTCTAAGTGCCCCCCTGCCCACCTCGGGCCTACCTCAGCCCTCACCCCTCTGCCTGCTCCCAATCTGGGGACTCTTTGGGGTGGTCTCAGCTCAGTGACCTCTGGGAGGGGGTCCCTGCCTCCTCCTCCTCCTCTCAGGATTTCTCTTGGGGTTCTCAATACTTGGTTACCTCATTATCCCTTTCTCTGCCTCTTTTGGCTTTATTTTGGGGAATTAGGGGTGGGGAGGGTTAGGGGGTCGGGTCTGTGTTTCCAGGTTCTGGAGAGAACGATGATCCACAGGTCACCGTGATCATGTTTCCTTCTATCCTTCTTGTATTTTTTTTTATTTTTGTCTATTTCATAATATGGTTTTTAATCACAATGAATTGCCTGGGGTCTGTAAGAATGTGGGACTCTGATCTTTCCCCCCCCCTCAGGTGTCAGTGGGGGCAGGCTCTGGGCTAGACCTTACCCCCAGCAACTTCCCATTGAGGCCAAAGCCCCCTACGCTGCCCGTCAGCTCTGCCTGCCCCTTCCGTTCTGGGCTTCCTGCTGCCCCAGCTTTGCCTGGACACTGACTTCATTCATAGTTCTCCCACTTCATCTGCTTCCAAACTATGCAACCTGCAACGTGCTCCCGTTCTGTCCTCTATAACCTCTGATCTACACTGGTTCTGGACCACACAACCTCCAGCATGGTCTGGTTTAGACCTCACCTTCTTCTTCTTCTTTTTTTTTTGAGATGGAATCTTGCTCTGTCGCCCAGGCTGGAGTGCAGTGGTGTGATTTCAGCTTACTGCAGTCTCCTGGGTTCAAGTAATTCTCCTGCCTCAGCCTCCCAAATAGCCGGGACTACAGGTGCATGCCACCACGCCTGACTAATTTTTGTATTTTAAGTCGAGAGGGGATTTCACTTGTTGTCCAGGCTGGTCTTGAACTCCTGACTGCAAATGATTTACCTGCCTTGGCCTCCCAAAGTGCTGGGAAAACAGGCTCGAGCCACTGCACCTGGCTCTGACTTGATCTTGTAATAACCAGTTCTAGAACCAGATCATGCTCTAGTTCTCCTAGATTCTGAACCTATGACCTGCTCCACTCACTAGTTCTGGACTGAACAACTTCTAGACCTTGCTGCCTCTGGGGCCCTCTGATTCAGCATCTGGTGATCTGCTATTTCTCTGGTTCTAGAACTGACTTACAAGTGTCTTCTGACTCTAGACTTCATCCCATAAATTCTCTTGGCTCTAGACTTCATAATTTCTAGACTCCTCTTTACTCAAGATCTGACTCCAAATTACCTGGGGTCTAGAATTCAGCCTTCAATATCTTCTAAAAGCAGACTTTGCCTTATACATTTCCCTGGTTTTAGATATTACAACCCTCAACTCCTGATTCTAGATCTTATGGCTTCCGAATCTCTCTGGTTCTAAAACTCAGACTTTAGGCTTTTTATTTTTTCTTTTTTTATTTAAAAAAATAGAGATGGGGTTTTGCCATGTTGCCCAGGCTGGTCTCGAACTCCTGAGCTCAAGCAGTTCTCCCTCCTTGGCCTCACCAAAGTGCTGGGACTTCAGGCATGAACCACTGAGCACAGCCAGGCTTTTTCTAATTCTAGACTTTATTCTATAAATTCCTCTGCTTCTAAGCCTGACAGCTTCCAACTGCCTTTGATTTCAGATCCAAATTCCTCTGGTTCTATAATTCAGCCTCCAAATGCTTTTGATTCTGGAATCTAGACTTTGCCCTATAGAGTCCTCTGGTTCTGAATCTTATAACCACAACTCTCTAATTCCAAACCCCACCCTCCTAAATATATTCTGAGCTTCCCCACCCACTGAGTTTACCCCAGTTTCAACCTTCAGTCTTAAGTCTTCCCATTCCAGGCCCCTGCCCTCTAGGCTGTGCTGCTCCTGGACTTAACGCCTCTCCATTCTCATTGCCTACAAGTTCTGTGTCCTAGAACCCCCTCCACTTTCCACCTCAGCCCTCCAGACATGCACTTACCTTGACTTTACCCCAGATGTTTGGGGCACCTGGGGTTCCCTCACCCTTTGGGGAGCTTGCAATCCAAAGACTTCTCCAGCTCCACAGGCACACGCACAGACACAGCACTGTCTGCAGATTTCGGGTTGGGGAGAGAGGCCAGGACCCCTCAGCTCTCTGCCACCATCTCTGTGCTTCCCTTACCCCACAGCTTTCTTTCTACAAATAGTGCTGTTCTTGGTCTCCCACGGGAAAATGCCTCCCCCTCTTAGCCCCATTTACCCCCTTTTTGGAAGGTACTGCTCACTCTGTTTTGTCGGGGGTGGCCTGTCCAGATTGGTGCCATGGGGGGCCTGACCCCTCCCTCCCTCCCACAGGAGGTAATGTGGGCCCTAAATGGAGGGAATTGTGCTGGGCTAGGGACTGGACCAGCCATGCTGGCTCTGAAACTCACCAGTCTCTATACCACCATAAAGACCTCACCTTGGCAGGCACCAGAGCTCTGTGTATTGACTCATCTTTTGGATGTCCTCTGGGAGTGTGGGTGCAGTGAGTGGCTGGGTGTCCACGTTACTCTTTCTTTCTTTTTCTTTTTCTTATTCAGATGGAGTCTCCCTCTGTTTCCCAGGCTGGAGTGCAGAGGCATCATCTCAGCTCACTGCAACCTCCACCACCCAGGTTCAAGCGATTCTCTTGCCTCAGCCTTCTGAGTAGCTGGAATTACAGACATGTGCCACTATGCCCAGCTAATTTTTATGTTTTTGGTAGACACGGTTTCACCACGTTGGTCAGGCTGGTCTCGAACTCCTGACTTCAGGTGATCTGCCCGTCTTGGCCTCCCAAAGTACCAGGATTGCAGGCATAAGCCACCGTGTCCAGCCCTTTCTTTTTTTCTTTGGAGACAGGGTCTCACTATCTCACCCAGGCTGGAGTGCAGTGGTACAATCACGGCTCTCTGCAGCTTCCTGGGATCAAGCAATCCTCCCATCTCATCCTTCCCAGTAGCTGGGACTACAGGCACATGCCACCAGGCCCAGCTAATTATTTTCATTTTTTGTAGAGACAGAACCTTGCCATGTTGCCCAGACTGGTCTCAAACTCCTGGGCTCAAGCGATCCTCCTGCCTCAGCCTCCCAAAGTTCTAGGATTATAGGCTTGAGCCACCACACCAGCCCCGTGCTACTTTCTGATTCTGTGTGTGTGTGTGTGTGTGTGTGCACGCACACTTGTGTACCCACATTGTCATTCTGTGTATGTGTGTGGGTCTCTATGACATTCTGTGAAACTGTGTTGCAGGGGGTTGTGATTCCTTCTACATATGCATATTAGTATCTGGGTGAAATGATTCTGCCTTATATGTGTTTCTGGTTACTTTGGGTTTCTCTTCTTCTGAGTGTGGAAGGTGCTCTGATTTTTTTTTTTTTTTTTTTTTTTGGTACCTGCATATGTCTGTATGATGTGATGCTCTACACATGTCTGAGACTCTTTGATGCTGAAATTCTGGGTACCAGTATGTGTCTGTGTGATGTGATTCCCCATAGTTAAGTGAACATGTGTGTGCAAGAGTGTGCGTCCCTAGATTCATGTGCAGGTGGGTGTGTCTGTTGTCACGTACGTCACTTTCATACCCGCCCCCCCACAGGACTGCACATAGAAATTTCTTCAAGGAAGAAAGCCACTCTCAAACCTTTGCACTTCCTGTTCCTTCTGCCTTAAATGCCTCTCTCCCTTCCCCTCTCCCCTCACTTGGTTATCTCCTACTTGTATTTCACATCTTGGTTCAGGTACCAGCTACTCCAGGAAGCCTTCCCTCCCTGCCCCAATTGGACAAAGTCCCCCTAAACCCCCTTTGGACGTCCCATCACAGCACTAGGTACTCTGCCTGACTGAGTATTTGATTGGTTGGTTGGTTGGTTGTTTTTTGAGACAGAGTCTCACTCTAGCCCAGGCTGGAGTGCAGTGGCATGATCTTGCCTCACTGTGACCTCTGCCTCCCAGGTTCAGGCAATTCTCCTGCTTTAACCTCCCTAGAAACTGGGACTTTAGGCGCACACCATCATGCCCAGCTAATTTTTTGTATTTTTAGTAGAGACAGGGTTTTGCCATGTTGGCCAGGCTGGTCTTGAACTCCTGACCTCAAGTGATCTGCCTACCTTGGCTTCCCAAAGTGCTGCAATTATAGGTGTGAGCCACTGTGCCCAGCCCACTTTGAGTATTTGTAATGGAGTGAATATGAAAGTACTGTTCTGTGTCAGGCTCTCTGGCAAATACTGTACTCATGTTATCAAACTCTCCTCTAATCCTGTATGATGGGCATAATTATTATCCCCACTTTACAGAGGTTGAAACTGAGGCTCAGAAGAGGTGATCACTTCCCCAAGGTCACACAGTCAGGAAAGGATTTAGCTGGTCAAACCCAGAATTCAAATTTATGGCAGTCTCCTTTTCCCCCAACCCAAAAAGAAAACAAACCCAACAAAACAAAACAAAAAAATTTACTAGCCCACCAAGATAGGCTCTGGCACATACAGAAGCGGTAGAGTGGGAAGTAAGGGGGCTGGGTGAGGTGGCTCACACCTATAATCCCAGCACTTTGGGAGGCTGAGGAGGGAGGATCACAAGGTCAAGAGATCAAGACCATCCTGTCCAACATGGTGAAACCTCATCTCTACTAAAAATACAAAAATTAGCCGGGTGTGGTGGCTTGTGCCTGTAGTCCCAGCTACTCGGGAGGCTGAGGCAGGAGAATCTTGAACCCAGGAGGCGGAGGTTGCAGCTTGGTGACAAAGTGAGACTCCATCTCAAAAAAAAAAAGTGGGAATTAAGGACACAGGAATTAGCTGGGATTCCTGATTCTGGCTCTGTCGCCTTCTTATGTTGTTGTGACCTTGGTCAAATGCGTAGACTTCTGCAAGTCTGTGCCTTCATCTGTAAAATGGAAATGATACTAATATCTACCCTTTAGGGTGATTGTTAGTTGTGCTGAGGGCCAGTGAGAGAGATGGAGTTAGACTAACAAGAGGTTTGGGAGTGGAATAGCTTTTGCATCCAGGAGGGGAGCCAGAGTATAGCCTCACAGGACTTAGTGCTATAAAAGGGCTTGGAAAGGACAAACAGGAAGGGTGTATGGTGTGTGGAGGTTGCAGAAGGGGTGGAATCTGGAGATGCTGCCTGAGGTTAGACTATTCATGGTCTCCTAATCAGGAGCTTGGGTTTTCTCCTAAGGGTAGTAGGGCCGTGAAAGGCTGGTAGCGAGGGTATGTTATGGTCTTATGTCTTAGAAAGATCCCTCCACCAGTCGTGGTAGCTCACGCCTGCAATCCCAGCACTTTGGGAGGCCGAGGCGGGCGGATAGCTTCAGGTTGGGAGTTCCAGACTAGCCTGGCCAACATGTAATAAAATACAAAAATCAGCCGGGCATGGTGGCAGGCGCCTTGTAATCGCAGCTACTTGGAAGGCTGAGGCAGGAAAATCACTTGAACCCGGGAGACAGAGGTTGCAGTGAGCCGAGATCACGCCACTGCAGTCAAGCCTGGGCGACAGAGCGCAAGACTCCGTAGGGGGTGCGGTGGGGTGGGGGGGAACCTCTAGCTGCCATGTGAAGAGTAAACTGGACGGAGGCAGAGTGCATGCCATCAATGCTGTGACCTCAGACAAGAGAATCTGGGAAAAGACAAACAGGAGAGTTTGACAATGCAGGATTTGGGAAGCTGAACACAGGCAGAAAGGAGATGCTGCAACACACTTTTATGGTCCTTGCTCAGGACTTGAAATCCAGAGTGCTTTCAGTTAAAAACTCGAAAACACTGACCTTCTAGGTTGGATCTGTTTTGGCTTGAGAAACCACCCATTTTTCAGATGGGTAACTGAGGCCCTAGAGAGGAGGGGAAGATTTGTTCAAGGTCACACAGCTAATCGACAATAGGGCTCGACGCCCGCGTAGGGCATGGCGCAGCCTTGCAAAGCAGCCACACCCGCCAGCGACATTCACAACCCACCCCCCAACCATAGAGGACAGCGGGGAAATCCAACTTTAAGAACCGAGAAACTTCTTACAGCCTTGGAACACGGTAACTTTGGGAGCAGAAGCCACTCGGGTCTGTTTCCCCGCGCGCCCCTTCTCCCATTCGCTATTGGCTCCTTCTAACAGGGGTACCGTCTGGGTACCCTCTGGTCACCTTGTCCTCCGCGCGCTCTATGGCGAGAGGGACCTGCGCACGCGCGTGAAGGGTGCCTTCAGGGCCCGCGCTTTACGACACTTGTGCGGCAGCGGCGGCGGCCACCCGGCGCTCCTTCGCGACGGTTCGGCCGGGTGCCGCTGGCCGCCGTTGCCAGGGTGGGGGTCGCTTTGCGGCATGGCGATGGCGGAGGGCGAGCGGACTGAGTGTGCTGAGCCCCCCCGGGACGAACCCCCGACTGATGGCGCTCTGAAGCGGGCAGAGGAGCTCAAGACGCAGGCCAATGACTACTTCAAAGGTGCGCCCGCCAGGCAGGGAGGGTGGACAGCGGCCCAGGCCGAGGGGTGCCGGGCCCGCCCGGAACCATGGCAACGCGGAGCGGCAGCCTGGGCGCGGGGCAGGCACTACCAAGTGACCGGGCGTGGGGAGGCCCGGGATGGCGTTATCAAGGAGCGGCATAGGGGTCTTCGGAGAGTGATACCTAGGAGTGGCGTGCGGAGCGGGTGCTACTCAGTGGGAAGTCTGAGGAGGGCGCCACCAAGTGTGGGGCGAGAGGGGGACCGGAATGAGGGCGCTACCAAACGTGAGGCCTGTAGAGGGCGCTACCAGGCAGTGACATGTGGTGGGGGAGTGAATGATGGCGCTACCAAATGGGGACCCCTAGGGTGGCTGCCGCCAAGTAGTGGGTAGAGGAGGGACAGTTCCAATAGAGAAGGCAGTCGTGGGGGTGGGGAATGAATCATTAGATGGAGGGAGCAAGGAAGTAGGAGATTTGGGGTGACCCAAGGAAATGGAATGTGATGGTGGGGGCCTTGGGAGTAGGGCCTGGGATCCCCAAGAATAGTATCACTTAGAATATTTAGAAAGAGTCAAGTGTGGAGCACCCATTCATTCATTAACTCAACAAATGTTGATTGAGTACCTGTTATGTGCCAAGGACTGTGCTTCATTCTGGGGATATAGCAGTGAATGAGATGGATGTGGCCCTGTCCTTAGCTTGCAATTTTGCAGGTGAATCAGACATGAAAAAAACATTTAAATAAGTAAAATATGTGATGAGTGCTTTGAAAGCAAACCAACAGGGTGATGAGGTAGGAAATAAGGGTTGGAGTCTACTTCAGATAGCGGGGTGGAGGAGGAGGTATTTAGGCTGAAACTCACAGAGGGAGAACTGGGGAGGACGTTCAAGGTAAATCGGACTGTGCAAAGGCCCTGGGGTGGGGAATGAAAGGACGTTGCCATGGCTGGAGCTTTGGCTGGTTAGGGGGAGACTGATAACAAGATGAGATTAGGATAGAGGCTAGATCATGCAGGGTCCCCTAAGTCACTACAAAGACTAGTGTTTTTTTTTTGAGACGTTGTTTCGCCCTTGTTGCCCAGGCTGGAGTGCAATGATACCATCTGGGCTGACTGCAACCTCTGCCTTTCAGGTTCAAGCGATTCTCCTGCCTCAGCCTCCCTAGAGGCTGGGATTATAGATGCACACCACCACACCTGGCTAATTTTTGTATTTTTAGTAGAGACAGGATTTCGCCATGTTGGCCAGGCTGGTCTCGAACTCCTGACCTCAGGTGATTCGCCTGGCTTGGCCTCCCAAAGTGCTGGGATTACAGGCGTGAGCTACCGTGCCTGGCCCTACAAGAGGACACATTGAGTAAGGAGATGGGCCAGTCTGGGCTGGAGAAGAATTTGGGCGTGATCAATCTATGGTTGGGAATGAATGAGATCATCTAGGAAGAGGGTCTAGAGGGGGAACTCAGGACAGAACCCAAGCAGAAGAGGGGAAGGCTAAGGAGGAGCGCTTAGTGAGGTGGAAAGGAAGCCAGGAAAGGTGTCAGGAAGGCTGAGAGAAGAGAGTGCTTCTAGAAGAAAGAGCTGCTGCCCTGGGTCAGATGCTGCCAAGGCGAGCACTGGCCATTGGCTTTGAGTCCATGGATGCTGGTGGTGGTGTTGACAGGAGCAGTTGTTGGGGAATGATGGGGGTGGTGGCAGCCAGGAGGGTGCTGAAGAGTGAATGGGAGGGGAGGAAGTGCAGGCAGCAAATATTAACAAGTGTTTGGAGTATTTTGGTTCTGAAGGCGAGTGGAGAAATGGGGGGGTGGTAAGAAGAGAACATGCAGTGTCAGGGGAAGATGGGTTTTTTGTAACAATGGAAGAGAGTCTGGTAGAGATGGAGAACTGATTCTGCATGAGAGAGGGGAGACTTGCAGCAGCAAAACCCTGGAGACGGGGGAGGGAAGGGATGGGAAGAGCGAGGGGAGTGGAAAGGATATAGAGCCCTGGAAGTGAGCCAAACAAAGTGTGGAGAAGTTTGATTCCGTGGCAGCAGTGAGAGGGAGGTAGGGCCAGTGAGAGATGAGGCCAGAGGCAGAGCCTGGGAAGACAGTGGGAAGCATGGGTGTTGTCCTGAGGGTGGTGGATGCTATGGGAGGTTTTAAGAGCAGGGTGACATGGTTCAATTAGAGTTCAGAAAAGATCCCTGGCTGCCATGCAGATACTGGATGTCAGGGTAAGACAGGAAGGAGACTAGATTGGTGGACAGGTGAGGGGTGGTGATCGCCAACCCGGCTGGTGGGACAGAAATAGACTCAAGAAGTGTTTCAGAGAGGAAGTGAGAGTGGCTGCCTGGAGAGAGGGTGGACGGTACTCTAGACAGGGGGGAAAAAAAAAGGTGGCAAAGTCCCAAAGGCAAGCAGAGCTTGGCATGGACGCCATGAGTGGGGCTGCAGTTTAGGGGTTGGAGGAGGTTATGAGGCTGCAGGGAGCAGATTTCGAAGAGAAGAGCCGTAGGGAGGAGTCAGGGCTTTCTGGGGTGAGGGTGGGGCCTCTGGGGGAGCCCTGGGAGGTTCTGCGTAGGGAAAAGACAGGGTCAGGTTGGTGCTTTAGGAACACTCCTCTGGAGGGGCAGGACGGGAGCCTACGAGGTCAGGTGGAGGCTGAGGCAGGAACCTGGGCAGGAGAGGCCAGGCCAGGGCTGGGTGGGACTGGAGGGTGAGAAGGGAGTGGCTGGATCTGAGAGATGCTCAGGAGGCTGACTCGGCAGAAGTGAAATGACTGCCGGGCTTTGGGGGTTGAGTCCAGGACAAGGCTCAGTGTCAGCTGGGTGAAGGGGTGGGAGGTAGACTTCCCTGGGATGGGAGCAGCCTGCATGGGGGTTGCTGCTGAGGTCGGGTCAGAATTCTGGGCCACAGCAGCCGCTGGGAGGAGCCCGTTGCCCCCCAGGACCTGGGATCCAGGCTCTCAGGAGTCCTGGGGCTGGGCAGGCAGCCAGAGGGGCCTGGCACTGAGCTGGCGGAGGAGAACGGCCCTTCTGGCCCAGGCCCCTCCTGTCTGGCAGGCAGTAGCAGGCACAGAGCCCCAGGCTCCAGGGCTGTGGGAATAACAATAAAAAGAATAATTACAGCTCACCTTAATTGAGCCTTGTGGTAGCCAGGTAAGCCATGGGGTTTAATCCTCCCCAGGGGCTGGGTGATGGCTAGGAGTGGCCCTGTTTGTTTATAAAGGAAGCAAGGCTCGGAGAAGCGAAACCACTCGCCCAAGGTCAGAGTGTGTGAGCAGCAGGGCCCGGATATCCCCTTCCTCTACACGTGCTTGGCTCCCAAGTTCAGGTTCCTCTCAGAGCCATCCTGGCCCTGTTGAGGAGAAGAGAGGTCCTGGGGGCAGAGCCTGGTCCCCATCTCAGGTCTGAGTCCAAAGGACGTGTCTCAACTCTCTTCCCCTTTCTCTGGGCCTCAGTGCCCCGCTTCTGTAAAATGAGGGGTGAGAGCTTCTGGTTAACCCCTAAGAGACTCCAGGTTTAAGAGCTTGTGCAGAGGAAGCAGGTCATGGTTGAGAGCTCAGGCTGCCTGAGTTCAAACCCTGTGTCTTCCTCTACCTGCTCAGTGATACCTGGACAAATGACTTAACCTCTCTGTGCCTCTGTTTCCTCACATCTAATATGGGGAATGTCTTGAGGCTTAAATATGCTCCTATTAGTAAAGTGCATAGAACAGGGCCAGGGTATGGCACGTGGGTCGACCCCTGGAGTACAGGCTCCTCCCATTTCCTCTTAGTTCCTTACTTCCTCCCTTTAGTCATTCATGCATTCACTTCTTCTGATCGCTTCTTTTGCTGCAGCCAGTTTTCTTACATGAGTTCATAACCCTCACAGCCACCAGTGAGGCAGAGCTCGGAAAGAAGAGGCTGTTTGCCTGCGGCCTGTGTTAGAGATCTGCAGAGCCGGGCGTCGGGCCCTGAGACTCCACGCTCCCCTCCCTGTGCCACTCGAGTAACAGCTTCCCCGGCAGGAATGCTCGCCAGGCAGCCTCTGGACCACAGCCAGGAGGCCTGAAGGAGTCCTCGAAGGCACTGGCATTCCAGGGAGGGTCGGTCAGATCTGGGCTGCCTGGTTCTGCCCTTGCTTGTTTCTGGGAAGTCCCAGGCCTTGCCCTCCTGGGGCTCACAGCTCTGGAGGGACACACTCATTACCTAACAGTGACAATGAGAGTGGACATGGCTGGCACAGGAGAGCCCAGGGGCTGTGGCAGCCCAGTCTCTAAGGCTGTGCAAGCCTTGGCTCTCCTGCCTGTCAAATGGGCATGAGGGAGGAATCAAGCCTGGCTCTGCAGGTGCAGACAGGGCATTTGACCTTGAACAAGACCTCTATAGCTTATCTGTAAAATGAGCACCAGATGGTCCTTACTGAAGTAGAGATGAGGATTCCACAGGTCAGGCTGTACAGGGCACAGCTGTAGCTCATCTCAGATAAAACCTGACCTCTCCTCCTTGCCAGATGTCACATCCTGTCACTCCACACTTAGAACATCAATGCCGGGACCTCACTGTGGCTGCCCGGGCCCCAGGGATCTGTCCCACCAGGCTTCCTGCCTCACCTGTCTTCCCCCTGCCCACTCCACCCAGCCACTCTAGCTCTCTCTGGCCCTCAGACAAGGGTTGCCCCTCTCTGGGCTTCCACCTGCCCCTGGGCCTCAGCATCTGCTCTTCTTCCTATCAAAGTGTTCTTCCCTCAGTCTGCTGCTAGTGCCCCGCTTGAGG